AGATTAGCTACTAAAACGCAACACACAAGAGCCAAATATCCTAGTATTTACATGGTTTTACACTATTTCCATTTTGTAAGTTGCACGACATATTGACTATTGATCGCTTTAATTTTAAAAAACTTCAAAAAGAAGAAATAAAACTTCAAATTCAAATTGAGAGAATTCTATATTCCCACGACTTATGCGGAGCTCTTTTTATTGCAAGAAAGATCTAATTGAGAGATCACTTGGTCATTATGCTCTAGAGCTCTTTCAAGATAAGTAATTATCAGTTGATCGGACTATTTCAATAAGTTCTTTATCCTTTGTTTTCGCCTTCTCCGATTGTTTCTTCTTTTTTCCGATTGATTGTTCTAGGACGAGAGGTCATTTCCAACAACGTCGTAGTCCTTTGGTGGTCGACAACTTTCTCATGGTTAGAGAGATAAAGTGAGAAACTCCTTACCTTTTATTCATAAATCTTATACTCGTATAGTTTTAAATAAATAAATGTTATAAGAATTTGAAATATCACAATTGAGCATTAAATGAACCTAAATATATTATCTAAGTTTATATAGAGTAATTAAATATAATTTCTTTCACAATTTGTGATCAAAATAACGTCTAAAATTAAGCTAGACCGACAATTTTAGAATGTGAGTATCACATTTATTATTATTATTATTATTATTATTATTGTCATGATTATTATTATTATTATTGTCATGATTATTATTATTATTATTATTATTATTATTATTATTATTATTATTATTATTATTACCACTCCGTATTGTTATTGTTGTTGTTATTATTACATTGAATTATTATAATTGCTAATATTGCATTTATTGTAATTGTTAATTATATTTGAAATTTATTATTGTTACTCCGTATTATTTTAAACATATTTATAGTAAAAAACCATCTTAAAGTATTTTTAAAAAAGTTGAATCAGTAACTACTATCCTTTCCATTTATGATTTTTAAGATCTGGACTTGTTTAGCAAAAGTGTGCTCTCAATAAAAGGTTTTGGTTATGGATCCTTAACTTTTAAGGTACGATTTTAACATAATATGCTATTGTAGCTTCTGTTACAAAATGAAATGGCGCCAAATTCATACCAATATTGTACCGTTTCAATAACCACGATACGTGACAAGCTATAATAATAATAATAATAATAATAATAATAATAATAATAATAATAATAATAATAATAATAATAATAATATCACGGATCATACCCACCCCATAGAGGCTATTTTAAAATGCCAATGTCAAAATTCAAACAATGAAAATGTAATAGAACCGGGTTTGGAATTCAAAACAAAAACAACAGACTGCTGGGAGCATACAAGAAATACAAACAAAGAGAGAGCCGTTGCAAGCCAACGCTTCGAGCCTCGTAACAAAACTGCAATTCTCAAGTACCAAAGTACTATTTTTTATTCTTTTATAATTCTTAACTAAGAGCAAAGTCACATTACATCTCCAGCCGATTACTGCTCATCGATCAAACGCTTCATCACGAATTCAGTAGGGCTCAACAGGCGCCCGGAAGCTGGCTCCAGCATAAATAGCTGCTGAACCAAGTTCCTCCTCAATTCTCAGGAGCTACATTGGAATAATGATGAAACAGGCTTAGAATAACAAAACAAACATGACTATTTATGTATTTTTTATCTATTTTTATGGACACACAAACACCCTAACACTAGGAATGATGATTGGCAGAAGTGTGTACCTGGTTATACTTGGCCAGACGCTCTGATCGGCAGGGAGCTCCAGTCTTAATTTGACCCTATATGTGCAAGGATATTCGTATTCAGCATATTTGACAAATAACATATATGCAGCAAATCTTATATCCTTTCTTCATTGCGAGTATTGTAATATAATTACCGTTGCCAAACCCACAGCAAGATCGGCAATAAAGGAATCCTCAGTCTCTCCACTGCAAAAAAGTTGTGCATACAATCAATAACTAGCTTAAAAAAAATCTAAAAATGGTGTTTCTTTTTTGTATATGAACCACTTGAAAGGTAGAGTGTCGTGCGCCCATACCTGCGGTGGCTTGTCATCACACCCCAACCAGCTCGCTTAGACATCCTTACAGCTTCGATACTCTCGGTCACAGATCCAATTTGGTTAACCTAATGAAGTAAAAATGATGTTAAAAAATTATGATCTATCATTTTCCTAATACAGTGTGTACAAAAAAATGCATATCGTTCTCCGAGTAAGGATCAGAGAGGTCTACCTTGAGAAGAAGAGCATTGCATGATTTACCATCAATTGCCTTGGCAACCCTCTACAGACACAAAGAGACCACTCTATTAGTTGGGGAAGTAGCTTAAAGGACATTAAGAAGCAGAAAAGTACAAAAAAGGAATAGAGGAGATGACCTTAGGGTTGGTGACCAGGAGATCATCTCCAACAATTTGCACTTTCTCTCCAATCTCAGCAGTGAGCTTAGCATAGTGTTCCCAGTCATCTTGGTCAAACGGATCTTCAATTGAAACAATAGGGTACTCAGAGACAAATGACTTGTAAAGATCCTTGAGCTGGTCCCCGGAAATCTTATGTGAGCCATCATTGCTCTGCAAACATTGAAGATGAACTAACCACATTAGTATGTATGGCTTTGGGGAATGGGGAAAAACTTGTTCAGACTTGCAGCATAATTTTATAGCATTGATAAAGAATAGAAGTTTGTGCTCATTCACATCACTCAGTTTTCAAGGACATAGATGAACATAGGTTTGTGCAAGAAATCTAATAATCAGAGGCTGTAACTTAGATTAGACACTAAGTGTCCCTCTGGAAAAGCAACAAATTTAGGCGCCGGGCGTGTGATTGCCGACTGTCATCTCTCCCCGGGGGAAATTGTTCAATATAACATATCCTTCTCTAATTGGCCAGTAAGGACAAATACCACCAAACCAAAGTAATTAATGGAGGTGTTACAACTCAAATATGGACAGGCATACCTCCTCTTTGAAGTTCAAATCATATGATTTGTCCTTCCCGTAGAACTCTGAGGCAGCAACATCCATTCCAATTACAACCTGTATGAAAAAATTGATATATTTAGCATAAATATACATAGACACCTTCATGAAAACTGAAACATGGAAGCCAATCATACTCACTTTCCCAGTATATCCTGCCTTCTCAATAGCAGTCTTTAGCAATTCAAGACCTTCCTTGTTCTCCTGAATTTATGTGGGAAGAGAATGTGAACCAAAAACTAAAGAGGGCAAAGCAGTAACATATTAGGATTCTATAAAAGACTATTTTGACCTGGATGTTAGGAGCAAAGCCTCCCTCATCCCCAACATTGGTGGCATCCTGTCCATATTTCTTCTTGATAACGGCCTGCAGTTATGACATAAAAAATTGTTGGAATGGTAAACATACAAGCAACCCAATGGATTACGGCTCCTAACTAACAAATGGTAGCTTAATTGGTGTGCATAGTTTAGTATTCTAGCATTACAAATCTCCTTATCTGCAGAGCATTCTATCTTACATCACAAGGACAGATATTGGCTCATTGTCACCTTGACCTGAGAGAAGACACAAACAGTTAATTACAAAAGTCAAATTACCTTCAAGTGGTGGTAAACTTCACAACCCATCTTCATGGCCTCCTTGAAACTAGAAGCTCCAACAGGGAGAATCATAAACTCCTGTAGAAAGAAAACATTGTACCAGAAATTAAAATGCAATGCACATCATAAATTATATTGTGCAAGTGCACATTATCAAAGACAGACCTGCATGGCAAGCTTGTTTCCGGCATGGGATCCACCATTGATGACATTGAAAGCTGGGACTGGCAAGACCAACTTCTTGTTACCCGCAAGGTTTGCAATGTGCTGTTAGAGAAAAAACATCATCACTAGTTGTTCATTCAATTGATACTCTGTAATACGGAGTAGCTTAAAATCAAAGAGAGACTGTAGGATAACAATAAATGTGATACTGATCACTTAAAAACAGACTCCTGAATAGCCAGCCAGCAGCAATATACCTGGTAGAGAGGGATATTCTTGACAGCAGCACCTGCTTTGCACACGGCAAGAGACACTGCTAGAATGGCATTTGCACCAAGCTGCAAAGGAAGTAAACCCGATTTCATCAGAACCAATGAATTCATGAGCGCCAATAAAAAACAACCAACAAAAACTGAAGAAATAAGCAGTTACCTTTTGCTTGCACCAACCCCACTCATTCTGAGTGCCATCAAGTTGCTGAACCATGAAATTATCAATACCAGTCTGATCAGTTGGGTCCTGCACAGGCATTATGGTTAAACATTAGGTCAAATAATATACGCAAACAATCGAGAGTGTAGTGAAAAAACAAACCTTGCCGATAAGAGCAGGGGCAATAATAGAGTTGACATTATTAACGGCCTTTGAAACACCTTTCCCAAGATATTCCGATCCTCCATCCCTCAGTTCAAGGGCTTCATAGATTCCTGTTTGATGACAGAAATGAGATACCTTTAAGGGAAAAGTAAGAAATTAAGCGCCAGATGACAAACAATTCCTATATTACAGGTAGTATCGAACAAGCAGAATAACTTTTAATGAAAATGAACCTATATAACATCGCCAGTTTGAAATCCATTCTAGATCAAAATTTACAGTAACAATTCATGACCGTTCAATCCATTCAGATCTAGATCAAAAATTACATAGAATCAAATCTTTGTCTCTACCAAAAAAAAAAAAGAAAGAAAACATCGCAGTAATGAAACAGAGCAGAAATTAGAGCGATCGAAATTCACCAGTTGAGGCCCCGCTAGGAACAGCAGCCCTGACCCAGAGATCATTGGACAAACACACATCGGCCTGCAAACAAACACGCACATTGTGATCGGATTAAACAGAAAACGAGACAAAAAAATGAGCGGATCGGGGATGAGGAGACGGACCTCAACCGTGGGATTGCCACGGCTGTCAAAGATCTGACGGGCCTTGACGGACTTGATGGTAGCCATGGAAAGGGGAGCTTTCGATCGAAGACGAGAGGAGAAAATGAAGATGAACGGGTGAAGAACACTGTGGCAAATGGGAATATAATTGGGCTCGGGTGCAACGTATATGTAGAGGAGCTTAGAGTAAAGACAGCCGTTGGATTAGTAGAGATGATTAGTGGTTTGGGCAACAAGATATTCCATACACGATGCGGATTTTCTACCCCTCTTCATTATTATTGACTGGTTAAAAGTACTACCTCCGTCCCAGAGTATTTGTCCACTTTCATTTTTGCATACCATCCAATACACTTCTTTAATCCATTTTATCTTGTAATTTGTATATTAAAAAATTATAGAAATTATAAATTAATAATCTATATGTTAAGACAAATCAAACAAAATCACACATGACTATATTTAGGCTAACATATTGAGAGATTTTGATGAGTCAAAGTGCTTAGATGAACAGTTCCAAAAGTCAAAGGTGGACGAATATAGCGGGACGGAGGGAGTAGCATATTACACGTGGACCGAACCAACTCTACTCTATTTTAGAAAGGTTTTCTCTTTTTTAATTGAAAATGAAAAATTCTGTCCCAAAAATTTAAAGAAAAAAAAAATTGCTCCTACTCTAGTACTATGAAGAGAAAAAGACACCTAGATAACATTTAGGATTAAGCTATGTGTACCCCATCATTTATACCCCAATTTGTACCTCGTAGGTTTGCACCAACATTTTGTGTTGGAGTAAACCTAATTCTTTTTAATGCACCAACACTTTATGTCCGTGTAAATTTTTGTTAATGCACCAACACTTGTGTCGGTGTAAACCATCTAAAAGTCTGTTTATAACAGTGGTGTACAAATGGGATATATTTTTTGGTGTAAATGTACCATGATCCCAACATTTAACATCTAAGAAAAGTTAACAAGAATGACATTTTAGTACTGTTCACTTCATTATAACTATTCCGACCAAAGGGTATCATTTTGTTACTCCCTCCTAGGGGTGTAAACGAACCGAATCGAAGCGAATACCGATATATTTGAATTTGTATTTGTTTAATATTTTCAAATACGAATCCAAATCCGAATATGAGACGAATTCAAAATAAGATTTGAATATGTATTTAATTAATATTAGAATAGTTATCGAATCTTAAACGAATATTTGAATTATCAAACTATGTAATTTATATGATAAACCAACATCGATTTGTAATTTAACTTACGATATTCCTTATACTATACTATATTCCGTATCTAAAAATATTAATACATTTGCATCTTACACAAATTATATTTTATAAAATATAATATTAAAAATCATATGCTTTAGATTTTCGTGTTACGTTAATTTATTGAATTCTTAGTACTTTAAATACACTTTATACTACTCCATATATTACTTTGCTTGACTTTTGATGTTGAAAACATGGTCTGTGTATATATACATATATTCGAATATTCGAATATCATCCGAATCGAATATATTCCTATTTGTATTTGTATTTGTATTTGTTTAATATTCAAATCAAAAATAATATTTGAATTTGAATTTGTATTTGAATAACGCGAATTCGAATCATTATATTCAAATACGAATCGCGAATCGAATTTAAAATATTTGATTTGTTTACATCCCTACTCCCTCCGTTCCAAAAAGATTTTCCTACTTTGATTAACGTGCAAAACCCCGTAGATTTTAAAATGATTTTATTTACAAATTGGCAAAGAAATAACACATAAAAAAATTATATTTAAAAACTATATCGAAAACTCTACAAAATAAGAGGTGACAAGAATATTTTATTTTATCAAATGATCAATGAATTAAATTAAATATTCCTTTCATTTTTGTGTTCTTTCAAGTTTCAATATTTGAATTTTTAGAGACAAAAGGAATATTTAGTATATGTTCTTTTCAATTTATTTTCATTTTATTCCCTTTAAGACATAAACTTATTTTTACACTAATATGTGTAATTAGTTTAAAAGGAATATTTAGTATATGTTAAATATACTAATTATTTATTATATTTAATATTATACATTACTATTATGGTTGTTACTTATTATAACTTGAGTTATTATTATGTAATATCACCTAATTTATCTAGTCTTTACTGTGAGAATTCTACCTATCCATTACCTTGTATTCCTCCATAATATTCAAGCAACCAAACATTCTTTATTACTTTTGACATGATATCGGAGCCTACATTCTTGGTAAACTAAGGTTTTTGCCTCTGCCGCCGTCGTAGGTGATTTATTCACCGACGGCGGCCTCACCAAAAATACTCTAGTCAACTAAATATCGTCGCAAAAGGTTGACATAAACTTTTATAATTTAGAGTTTTTATGTAAACATCTTCCCAATCTTCACCGTATTTAATTTTTTTCTTTTTCACGCAGCCACCAATAAGTTCTCAAGCCGCTCTTCCACAATGCTCCTCCGTCTGTCTCGATTTAGTTCATATCCATCACCATCGCTTCTTAATTTCATATCAAATCACCACCTTAGCTCGCTTAGTCGGTACATCTTTAGTCAACATGCCAATATTCTTTCGGCTTCTTATCTAAACCAGTCATGCACGTCAGTCTTCTCCCTCTTTCTTTCACGCCAGCAACGACTCTTCTCCTCCCCACCTTGGCCCGGTAAATCTCTTTACTGTCAATCTTTCTTCTTCTCTTCTAGTATGGATGGGTTCCCTCTTCTCCAACCAAAAATATGCTACTAACTTACGATTACGATTCATGTCATGATTCAAGTTAAAGCTCGCATTCAATCTTCACCACCTAGGATGCTGAGACCATATTAAATGTATTAATTACTTATGATATTTAATACTCCCTTCATCTTAAATAAAATGTCACATTTCATTATTCAAAAATCACATAAATTTTTATTTATTTGTGTGTTTTCATTGAGTATTCGATAAAATAAAATATTCTTATCACCTCTTGTTTTGTAGAACTTTTGAAATAACTTTTAAATATGTAATTTTTTTATTTCTATATCAACTGTTAAATAAAATGAATTGAAAAAATTTAAATTTTCATTTGATTTTCATAATGTGGTACTCCCTCCGTCCCATTTTAAATTGCATGTTTGCCTTTTTTTTCCGTCCCAAAATAAGTTGTCTGTTAGTTGTTTTCGTAAACTTTTAAAAATAAAATCAATAAACTACCCCTAAAATAAGTCACACTTCTTCACCTTATCTTCTCATTCATCATCATACCTCCTAAAAAGTAATGTCAATTTCAAAAAATCAACTCTATTTTTTATTTTCCTTAAATATGCCCAAAAGTCAAAACAGGCGATTTAAATTGAGACGGAGGGAGTATATGTTTTTGGGACGGAAGGTTTTTTATATAGAGTAATTTACCTAAATAGGATTAAAACATAATGACTTTCTCAATATAGGACCATATGTTTTTATTTCTCAATAAACGACCATTGGTCATTATCTATTAGTCATTATTCAACTAAGGCTCCGTTCCGTTCAACTTATTTTTTCTGATCTGATCTGATTCTAATAAGTTCTGATCTGATCTGGTCTGGTCTGATCTGATCTGATTCGATCTGATCTGATTTGATCTGATTCGATCTGATCTGATCTGATCTGGTCTGATCTGATCTGATTGGATCTGATCTGATCTGATTGGATCTGATCTGATCTGATAAGATATGATCTGATCTGATTAGATCTGATTTGATCTGATTGGATCTGATCTGATCTGGTCTGATCTGATTAATTATGATTTAATTTAAAATTTCAAATCAATATATTATTTTGACTTTATAATAACGTTTGAAAATTGTAATGATAATTTATATTATAATATAATCAATATTTTTTATTTAATGATTATTTTTTAATAAAATAAAAATAGTTAATTAATATGTTAGAATAATCATTCATATTATAATATAATAATGATTTTTATTTTATGATTATATTTTTGTAAAATTAGAATTATACATTAGAATAAATATTGAATTTAGATATACATTAAAAAGTAATTAAATTTAGATAATCAATATATAGAAGAGATAGAATTTTTATTAAAATATCTCATCCTTATAAAAGATCAAAAGTTTAAAAACTTAAATTACAAGTAGCAATAAAAATATATTTTAAAAGTAGAATTAGATTGACATTGTCAATGTATTTTTAAACTAATTTTTCCGACGTCTAATAATTAAGGATTACTTTCTCAGTTTTTTATTTAACCTATTTCTAAAGTTTATTCTTTTTCATTTTTAAGAACAATACTAATGATGATGATGATGATGATGATGATGATGATGATGATGATGATGATGATGATAATAATAATAATAATAATAATAATAATTTTGATGGGATCTGATTTTAATAAGTCCTGATCTGATCTGATATGATTGGATCTGATCTGATCTGATTCGATCTGATCTGATCTGATCTGATTCGATCTGATCTGATCTGGTCTGATCTGATCTGATCTGATCTGATTTTAATAAGAATAAGAAAAAATAAGAAAAAATAAGTTGAACGGAACGGGGCCTAAATGTCCAACATCACTTAGACATTATTCTTCTCACTAGTCATTATTAATTCCTATTTAGAGAATAAAAAAGTTTAAATCCTACATTGGGAAATGACTTATGTTTTAGTCCTATTCAGTGAAAATTTTACTTTTTTTATATATTATTATTATCATCGTTAATTATTATAGCTATAAATATTACATAATATTATACATTATTATCTAACCATTAATGATTGACGTAAAGAATTCTAGAATGCTCCAACTTTATCTATACAATCATTACCTTGTATTCCCACAAATTATTAAGACCTTGTTTGGGAAGAACTTTTCAATTAGCGCTAGTATTTTGGATAAAATATTTATGGTGTAGATTAATTTGGAAAATGCTAATACTCAAGGCTACCGTCAGATATTCAAAACGTTAACGTTAATCTCTAATACTGATGCTGAACCCGGCCTAAGCAATCAGGTATTCTTTATTAATTTGACGTAATACATAAAAATTAATTAAAGTCTTTGTCAAAGATCAAATTGACCAAAACTTTAAGTATATGGTTGAAGAATCAAGAAAAGATTTAGGGGCTGTTTGTTTCAGCCTCTTAATGGTTCAGATGTCTGAATGGTTCAGACTGTTTGTTTCAGCCTCTTAATGGTTCAGATGTCTGAATGGTTAAGAGATTTGCCTCTGAATGATTAAGTATTATACAGAGTCTGAATGGTTAAGACCTCTTATCTGAATTGATCAGACATTTGCCTCTGAATAGTTAAGCAATATACTAGCTCTTAATGGTTCAGACCTCTTACTGGTTCAGCACTTAATGGTTCAGACCTCTTACTGGTTCAGCACTTACCGATTCAGAAGTTGCCAAACAGCCCCTTACTCTGTATAAAGTCATCGTGTGCATACGACTTTTTATTTGTTGAGTGATGTTTTTATGGTCCCAAGGTTAATATTTAAAAGGTGGACCTTCTCCCATTTTCATGGACTTGTATATCAATATTTTCTTTTTTGCAAAAGGCACACATCTTTAATGCTACAAATCCTAATGTTATTTTTTTATTATTCAGTTACTATATTTAGAACTTTACATCATATAATTTCTACATATATATTTTTAAGATTTTTTTATTAAATAAAACCAATTATTATAAAATTGTAATCATGATATCGGAACTAATTAAGGTCTCTGTTCTAAAAAAGATAGCCTCCCTTCTTTTATGATCATGCGCCACCGCCGGTCTTCATCATCGACAGTCGACCACCACATATCATGGTCTCACCGTTCATCAATCTCTTTCTCTCCAAAAAATTATTAGCGTGTATAACAGTCTTAATCCCTAATGTCTCTCCCAAAAAAATCGTGTACGTGCTTGATAAATTAAAAAATTACATTTGTGTAAAATTTAATAACACGAAAAGCAATAGAGAAGTAGAGAACGACTCAGAAGCTGAAAGGAAAAAAAGAAAGAAGTTTAACGCCCTTGCTCAAATCGCCAACAGTATCCATTGAAAAGAACTTAGCAAATATAGTCTCAAGTTTGTTCGTCATGTAATGAAGATCATATCCATCATTCTACTTCTAGTAGTTATTTGAGAATAATTTCCGCTAACTCAATTTTAGTACTTGTGCTCCAGACAATTTCATTTTATAAAACTTCGTAAAAAAGTAAATTAGAAGTTATTTTTGAAAGGAGAAAGTATTAATTAAAATATAATGTAGTGGATTAATTAAAGCTGATTATAAATGCCCCTTTGATCCTTCTTATTTTTTACTCCTTTGTTGCTCTATTTAAGTATTAGAGTTACAAGCGAAAATATCAACAAAGACACAAATAGTTAAAGAGAATAAAATGAATATTTGTTAAACTTACTAATATATAAGAGAATAAAATCACCTCAAATAATTAAAAAAATTTGAAATTTAAATTCAAAATTGTAAATTTGTGAATTTTTTGATCTTTTTGTTGGTGATTTTAGCATTATTTTCTCATCCAACATTAGCCATATTTACTCCCCTTTGACTATGATTACTTTCCAAAACACTCCCAACCACTATCGTCTACAACTAAATTCATCCAACTTTGAACATCCTTAAATAAGTGCATGCCCAATCACCCACCCTTTTATTAATACCCTTTTGAAATTCAATCCCTTCAAGCCAAAACCCACACCAAAATGTCTCCACACAATAACCCAAAAATGGTTCCCATGGTCTTCTTCCTCCTAGTGCTCCTAACTGGGTGCTTCTCATCATCAACCCTTGCAAGAAAACATGCCTCCATTGATGAATATGAGATCATGTTACCCAAACACGTCCCGGTTTCCCCGTCGGGGCCTTCGTGCAAGTCGAGCCCGGGGACCCCACCGAGCTGCTTTCACCGGACGAAGAAGGCATCATCCCCGCCTCCGTCGTCCATTTCGCCGGCACCAATGTACTCAACTTAGAATAATGGAGATTTGATTTGGTGGGTGTTGCCATGATAGTGTTGTACTGTGAGCCATCATTGCTAATTTTCTCTAGCGTTTTGTATGACAACTACCAACTAACAATGTTGTCATGTTATTTTTCAAATTAAGCCTAATGAAAAAAGAATGTAGTACTTGGGCATTTGTATGCTAGCTTGTTTTATGAGAAATCATGAATTGATTTAGTTAGTTTTAAGTCTCCCTCATGGTTTTGTTTTGTTTTTTTTCCTCGTTATTTTTATGTGTTTATTAGAAAAAATGAAATAGACCATAAATAATAATTAGAAAAAATGCAACTATGGAGGCATGAAGAACAATAGTACCAAAAAGAAAGCAAAATTCTAAATAATAATCGCAATTAATAAACAGGTATATTATATTTTTCTCCTGCAATTTTATTGGCTAGAACATAAATAGAAAAATATCGAATATAGGCCAAGCTCCAAGAAACCAACATCGAATATAATGTCAACAACATACCTAATTTAGTCTGTGGAGATAAATTTAGGTTTCATACAGTAGCCGGCCAGTAGGGGTGGATATGACTCATAATTCCAACCAAATACCAAAACCATACCAGAATCACTTTAACCTCATTTAGTTGGTAAGAAAACGAGAGAAGGTATAGAAATGAAAGGGAAAGAGGAAAAGGAAAAATAACTCAAGGCTTTTGAACTTCCATAAGTTGGTTTGAATGAAATGAAACAGAGACGAAAATATATTCCCTGCAATTTTTAAAATCTTTTTATTTACAAATTGATACATTAATAAATAAAAATGACATATTATTACATCAAAATTTTACAAAACAAAATATGACAAGAATACTTTATTTTATTAAATAATCAATAAAGACAAACAAAAATTATTGAAAAAGAGAAAATAAAATTATAATCAATGAGGACAAAGAGAATATCTAAATTTTTGAATGAAACCCAATTTTGCATTTTCAAGTCTTTTGCCATTTTCCATCTAGTGTAGGAGAAGAAAATAAAGAAGTATTTTACTTCTCACATACTTTTATGTTTAGTTCTAGAAATTAAAACAAAAATAAATAAAATAATTTCTCAAGTTTTCCTTACCAATATGGAAAGAAATTGATTTATATTTTACTTTCACATTTTGTTTTGCATCCACTTTTTTTCTCTGATCAAACGAGAAAAATTATTTTCCATCTTAATTTCTTGTCTTTGCCCTTTCAAATTCTTTTAACCAAACGCAGTGTTACATTGGACCAACAAGGAAAATGCATTTTCATATCATTTTCCTTCCCTTTGCTTCTGTTTTAGACTCAAACAAACAGGCTAAAGTTAAAGCAGAATAGCTTCAGATAGTTAAGGTGAAGCATAAGATATAAGATAAGAACATCCAAAACCCGTCGAGAATAATTGGTTGTTCACACATAGAAATTGATAACCATCCAAAAAAACAAAACACATCTGAGTGTAAATAAAAGAGTACTGAATCCAAAAAAACATACTACTAGACTGCTCTCTCCGTTAACATTGGAGCCTCATGATCAAAGAAAGTTGCCTAGAAAACAAGGCAAGCAGCTACCTATTACTCGTATCATCTCTCTAGGGGGAGTCCAATTTACTTTCCTGCTCCGTGCTTGTCTTTTGTGTGGGAACCCAGACCAGCTTCAGTAGCAAATGCCCTGAAACAAAACCGAAAACGGGTGTTGATTTGTGGATTCCAAACAGAACTCAAAACTAAGAGATGATCACTTCCTGTGTTTACCTATCACATTTCTGGCACTTATGAGTGCCTGCTGATTTTGGGGTCTGTTTACCGGCTGCCTTCCCAGATTTCTTAGAAGGGTGTGGTGTAGCCACATGATCATTGCTTTTCTTCCCATCTGAACAATTTCATCAAAGCAAACAGTTAGAGAGGAAACACCAGACCTGTTGATGAAAAGCAGAGCATTGGAGAAGAGACTGACCAGTTTTCTGAGGAGTGGCAAGCTTCACCTTCTTTGCAGGAGTTTTCTTTGAAGATTCCGCAGCCCTCTTCTTGCCACTTTGGACCTTCATCCATGTACAAGTTAAACATATATTGCAAGGGAATCAATGGTTGATAAAAAAAGCATTCTTTGCATATATATATATACTATACCTTCTTTGGGGTCTCTTCCTCCTCAGACTCCTCATCTTCAGAATCACTTTCATCTTCATCCTAAACACAGAAAAAGCATTAGATTGACACAGCAGTAGAAAATGAAGCAGAATATTCAAAACAATTTCATAACATTCCAGATACGCATTGCACGCATGATCTAGTGGTGTCCCTAAATATCTAATTAATTAAACCGTGTAATAATAAATCATGCATCCTTGGACACTTTTATGGCAAAAAAACAGACAAGCAAATCCCAAAACAAAAAAACTTGAAATTTTTAAAAAATAAATGACTACTTTGCAAATCAGAAGTAAAAGCAACTATTATGCCCAGCAGAAAAAATTAGAAGCATTCAGATGTTATTCACCAAGTTTACCTTCTTTGCGGGGACAGCAGATTTCTTTTTAGAATCTGCAGGCTTCTTCTTGCCACTTTGGACCTTCAACCATGTAAAGTGAACACAAATAACGCAAAGGGAATCAATTGGTTAGTAAAGCCACATAGTTCTCATATATGTTACCTTCTTTGGGGTCTCTTCATCCTCCGATTCCTCATCTGTCTTTTTAGATTCTGCAGGCTTCTTCTTCCCACTTTGAACCTTCAACCATGTTAAGTAAAACAAATAACTTAAGGGAATCAATAGGTTAAGTAAAGCCACATTGCTCTCATATACGTTACCTTCTTTGGAGTCTCTTCATCCTCTGATTCTTCATCTTCAGAATCACTTTCATCTTCATCCTACAAACAACACTCTATAGATAAGCACAGCAGTTGAAAGTAAATCAAATATTTCAAACCAATTTCATGACAATATTAAATGCACATTGCATGCAAAATATCTATATATTTAGTAATAAACCATGCATTCTCAGCAAATAAACAAGCCTGCAAAGTTCAAAAATAAGAACATGAAATATTTAATTAAGTTGCTATTTTGCAAATCAGAAGTGAAAACAACAATAAAGCCCACAGAAAAAATGTCAAGAAGCCAGTACACATTATTTCTTAAAAAGAAAAGTTGAACAAATAATGATAATGATAATAATAAGAGAATAGAACTTGTGATCAAATGATATTAAATAAAAATATTACCGAATCTAACTCAAGATCGGAATCATCATCGTCAGCATCCATGTCTTCATCTTCATCACTGCTTTCATCATCTTCGCCTTCCTCCTGTACTTTCTTTGGTTCAGATATTTTCACCTTCTTCTTGCCAGCAGATTCCTTAGCAGCACTTTCCTTTTCTTGTGCAGCAGCAGATTCCTTGGCAGCACTTTCTTTTTCTGGTATGGCAGGTGTCTTAATCTCTGGCTGGTGATATGTCTCTAGAATTCAGAATCACCACAGAGTAAGAGTTAGAATGTTAGATGATAAGAAGTAGCAGAATCCTGATCAGAAAAAGACAAATTCCACACTACATACCAATGAATGCATCAAGTTCATCACTATCTGTACATTAAAAGTAAATTAGTGCCCACATGGGTGAAATATTGTTAGAAAATGAAAAAAAAAGTGTAACAACTGAGATGGCCAAGCTTACCTAATTCATCATCAGACTCAGTGAGCACAAAAGAGAACATGTTAAGGTTTTAACAAAACATAGTTTAAAACAGAACGTTAAAATGCCATTGCAAAACTCAACAACAAAAGCTAAGAAAATTATAATAAAGGATATGCGCCAGGTTTAACAGCCCTGTATCCATAAAAGAAGACACTTCCATTTTTCCAGTTGTGTGATAGTTCAAATCTTCTATCAAAAATCAAGTCAAATTGCTGCTGAGGGAGCTTCTCTGTGTGGAGAGTAGAAAGAACAAGTTTCTTCCCATCAACAGTCACATACAAGGAAAGGGATTCACCTCCCTTTTCTTTCTTAAGCTCACCAATATTAGCCTGTAGATTAGAAATATTAACATAATTTGATACAAAAATACTTGAACAACCACATTTATAGAGATATAGCTAGCTGACCTGTGAAATATGTATGACCTGGATATCTCCAGGATACACGGGAAGATTTTGTCCACTTTTAACCTCAACACCTATAAAATGAACATGTCACTCTGTAAGTGGTTGCAGGATACAATCCATAACAGATTTTAAAACCTGGAGACTTTGTAATTTTTAATCAGACATAACACAATCACTAAACACGATAAGCAAATGCAACAATGTTGAGATTCATTTATCGCATCTAGATTTCAATGCCTGTAGATGTACAAACACCATAATATATCAAATACTGTCACAAGAATATTACAAGAGGATGCCAAGGGAGTAACAAAGCTTCAATCAGGGCATCAAAAGCAATTTATTTCATCAGCATCTCAAACGGGCTCAACATCCAAACCAACACACATTTTAATAATACAGAGCAGCTAATTTCATTTCGATGCTAAAAATGAACTTACACTCATGACTACAGACAATCGCGCACACAGAGAAGCACACAATAAACGAACAATGAACACGAAATATGAGAGGAAATGAAGAAAAAAGACTGCTAGACCTAAAGAAATAACGCGATCATATGTGAATACGCTACACATGGAAAATGGAATGCAAAAACAGAGAGATAAGCAACAGACATGATAAAACTCTATCAAGGATATCATCTCCGGGACGATGAGAGATTCTACACAGAAACAATGAGAAAAAAGACGGAGAAAAAGAACATTACCCCAGAACTCCATTGCTGCACGAGAAGAGAGCGAGTGAGAGAGAGTTAGGGTTTTAGACAGAGAGCGGGAGCGCTCAGGCTACAGATTCTTCTAGGGTTCGATAAAATGGATAGAATGCGAGTATATATAAAAGGCGGAGAGGTTACACGAATACACGATAAAGTGTGTCGCAGACCATGGTAAAAAGTTGGGATTGGGCCACCCCCTTGTGCTGCGCGTCTGAAAGAAGGTCGAATGGGCTTAACCCATTTTCATTTGACTGCTTTCCACTAACCCAACCTACTAAGAGATTTAGATTAGACCAAATCATATTATAAACCATGTCAAGTACACTCTCTCTCCAAAAAAAATTCTCATTTTGATTTGAAACGGAGATTACAAAAAATTACAAAGTGTAAAGACTGACCATGTTTTTGGCTAATACTTTTAGCTCCTGCAAAATTTGCAAATTTTTGATCCCTCTATTTTTTAAAATTAAATCATTCATGTTAAATTATTATTTTTTTCAAAAATGCTTCCCTTAATTTAAATATTGTGAATATGTTTTAATCTCTCTAAAATTTATCATTTTAATTTTAATTTCCCTTAAAAAAATTAGTTCAATCATTCCTACTAGCATTTCACCCGTGTGATACACGAGAAAATACTAAGTTAAAAATTTCACCTCATCTTTATGGTGTCCACTTGTATGGTCCAACCTCATTTATGGCTCGAGTAGTAATTATATGGATATGTTAATAACATATGTAGCCAAGAATGTACAAAGTAATTCACATAAAACATACTCCCCCGTCCCATTTTAAATTGCATTTTTGCCTTTTTTATCCGTCCCAAAATAAGTTGCGTATTAGTTGTTTTCGTAAACTTTTAAAAATAAAATACCTAAACTATCCTTAAAATAAGTCACTCTTCTTCACCTTATCTTCTCATTCATCATCACCCCTCCTAAAAAGTAATGTCAATTTCGAAAAATCAACTCTATTTTTTATTTTCCTTAAATATGCCCAAAAAGCAAAACAGGCGATTTAAATTGAGACGGAGGGAGTATATGATATACTCTTGTGTAGTTATTAGATACACACTGATACCTTCCTATATGAAAGCTACAAATGAATTAGAACTTCTGAAAAAATAAAGGATCAACCTATTAATCCATGAAAGATGTGATAAGGTGTACATTTTATCTCTAAACTTAAAAATCACAAAAATTTTGACTTAAAAATATAATAGTCGAAATTATTTTGTAAAAATTACTTGTAGCAAATAAATTTGCAATATTAGTAACTATCAGTGAAAAGAATATAAGTGGACAAGTAAAATAATCCCAACCAAATCAAACTTTAATAGATGTAGGTTGTGTTCTGTTTGCCTGATCAGATCTAATATGGTTTTTTGAAGTTCTCATTAGATCTGATTAAATCTGATCTGATTAGATTTGTTCTAATGTGAATTAAATTTAAAATTGTCATTATAATAGTTATAATAATAGTAATAATAGAAATAATAATAATAATAATACTCCGTAATAACTATAATAATAATAATACTAATAATACTAGTAATAATAATAATAGAAATATTGATGATAAAAGCAATAATAATAATAATAATAATAATAATAATAATAATAATAATAGTAGTAGTAGTAATAAGAATAGTAATAAGGGAAATTTACGTAAATAGCAATAAAACATAATGAATTTTCTTAAATAGTACCATATGTATTTTTTATCAATCTAGCATTTTTAGTCATTATGCATTAGTCATTATTCAAGTAAATATTGGTCATCACTAGACATTATAGATATTATAAGTTCTATTTAGAGAATAAAACAATTTAAGTGCTGTTTAGGAAAATGACTTAAGTTTTAGTGATACTAAGAATGGACATGCAATCGATTTTATTGTGGAAGGGAAGGAGGAACAGGCACATGCATTATGATACTGAATGCAAACCAGCTAAACAATGGAATGATCTCAAGACATCAATGATCTCTTATTTATATATTTACTAGTTGTCTACCCCGTGCTTCGCACAGGCTAGGGATGTATACACGTGTTTGTTGTATGCAAATTAGTTACTGCATGTTATGCCTCTTATGGCCCTTGATGTCAATTATCAATATTTTGTTCACGTGTTTTTAAAAAAATAAAGAATAATAAAGTTTATAAATGCCAAAAAATTAAAAACATAAAAGAGGACTAAATTAAAGCCCCTCTAAAAATAGGAGTGTAACTCTTAAGAGTTATGACCAAAACCGGGTTGAGGAAAAGAAAAGCAATAAAACTTTTCCCTAATCAATAAGTCAAATACCGTATCATGACAAAGTCTCCTAAGAGTCTTGGTCTTATTAAAAAACAATCTAAGCTAATGAACAAAGTAAAACTAAAATCCTTCTTGAAGTCAATAAACTTGACCTGTTTTTACAAAAACATACCCTACCCAATTGGGCACTAAAGAAACCAGCATCAAAGCAAACCAAGCTAGTTGCTATCACCATTAGTCAAGACCGATATTTGCCTTTGCCATAGCCATAACTAAAACTCATGAGTAGAAACTTGTGCCAAAATCAATATTCAAACACCCAAAATCAAGCAACTACTCTTAACTACTCTTGCAAAAACTAAGTGACCATATCATTGTCATAGATCAAATTAAACCAATGACTTTGGCCAAAAGCTAGTTCCAATAGATGGAAAAAAATAGTGAGAGACTACAATGTTTTTCTAAAAGTTGTTCTATTAATGAAAAGAAAATTAGTAATTGACAAAATCATTAGGAAAGATGTATTAATAAGTAATAGTTTTGACACTAAACCCAAAAATATAAGTAATTTATCAAAGGGCATCAAGCATTACTTGCATAAATAAATCTCCATGTCAAGAGACTTTCATGTGCATTAACAAAGTTTTTGATACTTGAATAGTGTTCTAGCAGCTGCTTCTTAAATAGAACAGAGAAATACAAAGCCTACATTAACAAAAAAGAACAACATAAGGATGTGACAATGGGCGCCTAAAGTATTTTGAGATATTATTCACATGACACATATGTGCACCTGAAAAGGATAATGATACATATATACACCCTCTAACACCAAACCAGTTATTGTTGCCTAATTGAAGGTTTTGTTTTTTTCTTGTAACACCAAACCAATTCTTGTTGTCTAAGTGCTTTTTTTAGTATAACAAATAGCCTCTTCAAAAAAAGACACTATAACAAAAATTAAAAAGAGACCATAAGAGATTAGATTAACTTACATTGTCATTTGAATCATGAAGCAGTAAAAATCCCTTCTCTCTTGTTAGCAAAATCTTGAGAAATTGAGAAGTAAAAAAACATCATAATACAGTGATAAGCCGATAAGGGAGAATAATCACAGATATTATAAGAGATGAATAGAAACATAAATTAATTAAGGGTTCATAAACTCAAAAATGATGCCAAAATTTCACGTTAAAATAATACCCACATTGTCCTAAAATAAGCATATAAATAAATACAGTCTCAAATCCAACTATTAATATTTACAGAATAACATGAGCACATTATGAAAAATCTTACACAATTGATCAGGAACACAAAACGAACTGCAAAAAAAACACTCAGAAACCAACTTTTTGCAAAGATGTAAAATGCTTCCAAGTTATTTAACTGCAAAACAGAACTTAAGAAAAAGTTGGTAAATTAATTGCTAACAATACACGTCACTAACAACAAATTAGCTCGACTTGCAATCCAGGAACCCCGACCATGTTTTAGAAAGATTTATATTTCAATATTGGTGTTGTCTTTAGAAGTTTCTCAAAATTCAAAACCAAAGCTTTAGGAACATATGAGGCATAGAAAATAAAACCTCCCCTAAGAAAGATTAAAAAATTGTGTAGGTGAAAGTGAAACGAATTAAAATAATTTAAAAATCAATGAATACTAACAGTAAAGAGAAAGTGAAATGAATTAAAATAATTTGATTTACCTTCTTGAAGTGAAATAAAATGTAATCTCAAAGAAATGTGGAAGCACAGTCAAATAAAAGCATATCCCAAAGCATTCGATTATCCTGCAGTACTATCCCAAAGCATTTCCATTGCTCAATCAAACCTGCTGAATAAAAGCCTAGACTGCAACTTCATCCAACAAGAAAAGAAGTATGTGCTAAGTACAATCAGAGAAAGTATACACATTTGAGAAAGTTTTAGAACAATTATTTATGCAAAGTATATTATGAGCTTGTGTCCATCAATTCTATTTTCTAGTACTATTGACTCTATCAGAAGGAAATGCATGGGACTATGAGAGAAAATATAAAAACCAAACTTTTGTGGACTGACGTTATTCTAACACCAAAAGTTCAGGTCCTTCCACCATTAGAAACCCATCTCCATCCCACGCCTTAGCATGAAACACAAAAATGTAAATTAATTTGAATTTCTCTAAACAAATATAATAAGAAAGACACAACGAAGATAAACGCCTACTCAAAAGCATAAACATAGCTTGGTTTCATCGCCCTTAAATTCAGGATGCTTCATTGAACGTTTGTACCTTGGCAGTGCATCGTACCCCAGGTTTAGTGCATCCCAAGCCGCTTCAATTTAAGCAGAGGCGGCAGAGCAATTCCCTGCAAATTTCTTTTGATTTTTACCATAGTACTTTTCAAGTGTCTAATGCAGGTCTGCACCTCGACATACTTCACTCTTATTGATCTTTTTTAAGCAACTTTTTCGTGATTCAACAATAGAGGTAGCATTGAGGATATGTATTTTTTAAGCAACTTTTTAGTGATTCAATAGCATCCAAATAACATTAATACAGGCAAATAACATTAAATATAAGTGCTTTGATGTGTGAATTGAGTACAATTATGATCCAGAAAACAACATTTGCAGTCAATGTATCGTGCAAATATGAAAAATACTTCAGAATATAAACATGACAAAAATATAATCTCGACCCATTCTAAAATCAACCTTTTCAAAGTTTATAAAATTAAAGCATTGCATTGGGATTTTTGAGGTCCCATTAGAAATAAGCATAAAAATCATATATTGTTACAATATCAATTTGCCCAAATTAAAACATTGTCAAAGACTACTCTTTTAGATGAAGCAGCAATGGGCATAAGAATTTGAATATGTTTTAACAGCAATCAAACTCTTGATGTTTCCATGCTTATTACTAAATTTAACCAAAAATATTAGGTTAGATTGAAGAAAGATTTTTTTTATGTACCTGGTCAATTGCCTTCGTACCCTCTTGTACCACAATCTTTTGCTTGGTTTGTGTTTGGTAGAGCCAACCTTTTTTCCACCTTGTTCCAATTTGAGGGCCAAAGATTTTGAAAATCTAAAATCCTAAATAACATGAAACCATCACACATACACACTTCAACATTAATGCAATGCAAAAGATTCCAATAACGCACATACACACTTAGCCACAAATAGGTTTAGACTCTACTCAGGGAAAATTGCAGTATTACTCAAAGTAAAACAACACACCCTCACTACTTACGATGAAACTTACCTCAGTACTGCATCATTGACCATCTTCTGACATTTATTACACCAGAATTTCCCCTCGCTTGCCTTAATTAACCTCTTGCAGTGCCCACGTGTGTTGTAGAACCATCCATTATTATTGTCTATATCATATGTCAACGCACGACGAAAGAAAGTTGCACCTTGTTAGTGTTTTTCAACACTCATAACACAGCAAAATTTGAAAAATTTTAAAAATGCACATAGAAATACCTTTAAAACAATATCACTATTACGGTTCATCTACATACAACTTCAATAAACTTGGAGTCAATAATACTCAAAATTTGTTTTTTGTTCTGGATAAATTAGTGTGCAGATCTTGTCTCTGGATCATGATTATGGAATTCTATAATAAACGTTGCAATCATACAAGTGTCAATACCATTATGCATATCAACAAAATTAATAATTAATTACCCAATATTTATTTATACACCGTCCAAAATTAATGAACACAACGATGATTCTTTTTTGAACAATGAAAAAGAATGAAATCTATAACACAATTACTAAACAAAGTTAAAAATATAAATTTAAGAAATTGAAAATAGAGAAGAGGAAAAAGAATATGAATGATGTCTTATTTACGTGATATAAATAAGGTTATATCTTTCTTCTCAAAACAAAATTCTTATGCTTAAATTAACCAAGCAAGAACTGTGAATCATCTAAAGCAAAACAAACAAAATTTACCAAGCGAAAGAAAAAACAGAATCCATATGCTTAAATTAACCAAGAAATCATCTGAATCAAAGGACTTCTGAAGCATAAAAAACAAAATGCTACGTGCTACCTTTGCCTTCTTAAAAGCTTCCTCAGATTTCCGGAGTGTAAAACTCTTCTGCTGCTCCACACTCCCTGTCCCTCTGTAACCATCATCATCAGATCACCAAGGCCTGCAGCTGCCATCTTCAGCCTTTGTCACCTCATATTCACCAACCTTATCTCTCTGCATTGCAAAGTTCCTGACCCCCTCAATGGAACAACCCTGCTAAGCAAAAAAACAAAAAGGAGGAACGAAAATAATCAAAATGGTGAGGAGGTGGAGTATGGAATGAACAACTATTGAATCTCATAAAAGATGTAAGAAACAACCAGAGTAACCAATTTTTCGAAATTATAGATACAACAATAATCTAATTAGTGTGAGGTAGGGAAAAAAATATGAAGTACCTTTTAGGAAAGCACGTAAGCCACACGCAGAGAATAATAGACAGGTTCCTTTAAAAAGATTGTTGAAGAAATAAGGTAAGAAGCTAAATTCACCAATACATTCATTTCTACAAACATGTATATTGAAGAATTGTCAAAGAACACAAATAATGTTAATTATGGTTGAGTGAAGTAGAGAGAAACATGAATATATGTTAGAAATGAACCAGTTTTTAAAATATCACATGTCGCAGAGAAGAGAAATAGAAGAGCTTTACGAAAGAGAATGCAGCAGTTGACCGTTTCATTCCTCGGAGTCACTATTGACTTTGATGACTTATCTCTAAAAGCTTATCAACAGGCTGCCTGCATATAAGATTACGGTTTATTTTAAACCTCAAAACTTTGGCACACACAGTCCACATGGACTACAACATGAAACAAATCATATTATCCTGGAACCCAAATTCCAAATAAAATAAGCAAAACTCATACCTTTAACAGGACATAACATTTAGTCTTCAATGATTCTGAAATGCCCAGTTGGTACCACCACTTGAACCATGGCGGGAAACTCACACACACACACACACACACACATATAAACTACTGGTTCCACCCCTTGAACCATGGCGGAGCTATTGAGCATGGGAATGTTAATTGACATTTTTGATGAAGAGTGGAGGAGAGATACTGTGCCGAATGATGGTATGCCACTTTTCCCCTAATTTTGAAACTGTTAGCTAGTTTGCAAAGGTTCTGCTTTTGATTTTTTTTGGAAATTTAAGTTTAATGTTGTAATTTGTGAATTATTAATTTCAAGAATTTTTTCAAGCTAGTAATTCATAGGAAAATGCTCTTTGTATTTGATTATGGATTGCTCACATTCCACAGTTATGGATTGGCCGCATAAATTCAGCTTTAATTAGACAAAATAGGGGCTAGACAATTCAGGCAATTACACAAACATAGGAGATAATTTTGATTCTTGAATGGAATGTATTTTGCAATTCATACCATTAGGCAAAAATAGGTCACAAAACCATACGTTCACAGTATTGAAAGAGGAAGAAAATATCTGAGGGCAGCGGTGGATTTGCAGAGAGGTCAAGTTGAGCAGATGCACGTTGATCACGCTCAATGCAAGATGACGGGTGAACGGCGGTGAACTCAGTGTTGCAGGCTCGCGAGTGGCGGATGATGGTCGCGGGTGGCTGGCAACAGAACAGACCTAGAGGGACGATAAACAGAAGATGTTTTTCACCCTCTAGTTGGCGAAAAATGAAGGAGCGCCGGTGGTAGACGAAGGGCGTAGAACAGACCCAGTGTTTCCGGCTCGCGAGATGCAGATGATGGTCGCGGGTGGCTGGCAACAGAAAGGGCCTGGAGGGACGATAAACAGAAAAGGCTTTAGGCGAAAAATGAAGGGGCGCAGGTGGTAGACGAAGGGCGTAGAATTTTAGGGTGTTTAATCCTGCCAGATGAGCGCGCCAGGTCAGTATCCACGTGGCATCCCCACAGCTGATAAACCCAACTTTATATATATATATATGATTTATGTATATAGAACTAAATATAATCTGCAGGCTCTCCATAAGAAGTATACATTTCCATATCTGAACTAGTGGCAGCCTGCAATGGATCAGTGTCCACCCACACATCTGACATTGCACCAATGGCTCCTACCACAGTGCCATAGCTCCCAAGATCTCCAAAACCCATGCCCCAAACGTCCTCTTCTTTAACCGGCGACGAACTGGGGAAACCATTAACCTCTTTGGGTTTAAGAGGAGGAAGAGAATGTTCCATTTCCCTTTCATGTGACCCTGCAACAACAAAAACAACAAACCTAGTACAACACTCCCAAAATGTTCCATTTTGATTTACTTTCACTATTTACCAGAACCTAAAGCGTTGCCAAAAATGACTCTTTTATCAGATCCCAATAGGCTGCTGCCCATTCCTGTTTCTTTGGGACTGTGCTTCGCGAACCTCTTCATCCTCCCCATTGTCGTTCTTGGAGGAGCAATTATGGCATTTGGTTCTTTCATCTTCTTCATCTGACCCAGCAGTCTGGCCATGAAAGAAACCATCTGCTTCTGCCCTTCCTCGGCAGCCTGCAGCTTCTTGTTCACCACTTCCAGGTCCTGGACTGTCCCCAGCTGCTCCTTCTGCAACTCCATCACTTCCTGCATCATACCCATTCTCTCCTTCCTCATTTTACCTATCTCAGCCTCCAGAGGAAGTCCAGAAGAGCCCGGCGGTTTTCGCCTCTGGATGATCCTCAGCAGGTGCCTCTTCCCTCTCAAGAACCCTTCGTTCGCGAATTCCCACCTCTCAGCATGCATTTTTCGGAACCCCTGTATCAAAATTTATTCATCAGGAGAAAGAAAAAAAGTCCATCTAAAGCTAACAGAAAAGAAAATGCAGTAATGTGCAGGCAAAGCAACTCAAGAGCCTCTGGACAAAAAAGTAAGAAATCATTGATCAATTTCATTTCCAATAGAAACCAAGAAATCAGAAGTATTCAACTGCAAATTAAACATAATGTCATAATCACATTTCATTTACAGTATATACAAACCAAGAAATCATATGCAATCAATTGCAATTGAAACATGTCCAAATCAAGAACATATTTAGTGTTTATCAGAACCATAAACTCTACCTGCAAAAAGATGGATGAAGCCCCCCTGCAGCTCATCCCAAATTCACCCACTGGATTTCTTTGATTTCCCTAAAATAACTACTCAATTACTCCATAAAACCTTTACAAACTTCCCCTAACATCTACTACACCTCATCATCTCTATCTCAATTACAACAAAGAAAAAAGCAAAACAATTCAAAGGAAAATACATTATACAAAAACCCCAGGGACAGAATTACATGAAAAGATAAGAAGAAGAAGAAGAAGAAGAAGAAGAAGAAGAAGAAGAAGAAGAAGAGCAGCCAAAGTGGATATATATTTGTGTGTGAGTGTGTACCCACATATGTATTGAGCTGACGAACAAAGCTGGAGAAGTTGCTGTGTTTGAAATTATGTGGAAGGATGAACCTGGCGAATTCCACCGGGTCCCACACCACGAAGCTCTCCCCTGTCGGAGCCCAGGATATGATGGCGTCCAGAGACGGGTCCTCCACCAGATCGAAGGTCTTGGACAGGAACGCCGGCACCGGCGCCTCCAGCAGGCACTCGAGCGGCTCAGGCGACGGCGCGTGCGCCTGTCCCGGAGGAAACGGAACGAGCTCCGAGAGCGACGGTCGGGTCGAGCCGAGAATCGCCTCTTCGGGATTCATACATAGATTCTGTAATTTCTTTAGTCGAAGAAGAGAAAAATGTCAAGAAATTGAAGAAGAAGAAGAAGAGGAAAAGATGAATTCTCGCGGAACAAGAATGAGTGTTTATATATATACACAGAGAGCAGAGAAGTTGGGATCCATTCATCGGCAAAAGGCGACAAAGAAGAAACGGAAAATATCTGAAGGGGCAGAAAGATTAGTGAGTAAGGAAGGAAGTAAGGCGGTGGAGGAGGAGGAGAATCTGACATCAGCGGATGAGAGCACACACACAGGTGAAAATGTTGGGACTTTTTCTCCTCCTCAAGACCAATACTTTGAATAATTCGATTGGATAAAGCTATTTCTATCCCAAATAATTTGTATTCCATTTTTTACGACACAAAGATGCATCAACATTTTGTATTGGTGTAATGTAATTTTTATTAATGCACCAATACTTTATGTCACTATAAATTTTTGTTAACGCGCCAACACTTTGTGTCAATGTGGACCATCAACATGTCGGTGCATACTTTTGGTGTACAAATGTGATACAAATTTTGGAATACACGTAGCATGCTCCAATTGAGTCGTATCATCTTGCTTGGCTTTATTCAAAAGGCATGCGTCACAAATCTATCTCTCTTTGTACCTTATTATTCGAGATCGAAATAAAATGAAACGAGTTTGGTTTGTCCTCCTTATCATTGTTTGAAATTATAGATAAGAAAACTGTATAAAATACATAAGAGAGAGGTAACTGATTTTCACTTTGGGCTCATATTCATTACTACTAAAACAATATTCTGTCAAAAAAATACTACGTAGTATACTATTCCTAGTATGTTTCCAGCAGTACAATTAATTTTATACAATGTATATATGCACTACAAGAATTAGTTCTATTTGCGACGGAAACACTGCGACAGAATAAGTTTGCCGCACATTGCAACAAAAATTGCAAAGAAGGTTAAAGTATTTTAAATTACCACAAAATCTGTGATGGATTCCTTAATTTCGTCGCAAAGTGCGATGGATTTTTGTTTCTGTCGCAGAAAAGTTGAATGTCAAAGTTTTAATTCAAAAGCCTGCGACGAAATTAAGGGATGCAAACATATGATAATGTAGATCCTCGATCAATTAGTGCAAGCACATGAGTATTAAATTTCAATTTAAAAATAACATATATCCAAAATATTTCTAAATCGAAATATATCTAAAACCGAAATATCTTCGACCAATCAGAACCGATCCGGAATTGAATTAAACCAAACACTATATGGAACCAAAATAGATCTGAACTGAAATCAAAGTGAACCGATCCAAAGAAAAACGATTATAACATATATCCGAAAGTTATCAAACCGAAAAAATCCAAACTGAAATCAATATTATTAGTTCGATTGCCAAGTCTAAGACCTCGATAAAGGGCGACTCTAAGAACATCTCCAACCACACTTGCTAAACATATCTTGCTAAAGTTTGTTTAGCATGTGAATTGTGGTTTAGCAAGCCATTTCACATTATCATCTCCCACCTTTCCTTGCTACTCCCTCCGTCCCAAATTATAATGCCTGTTTACTATTCACAAGGTCAAACTTCATTCACTTTTTTTCTCTATTTTCGTTAGCAATTTGATAAAATAAAATATTGTTGTCACTACTAGTTTTGTAGATCTTTTGATGTAGTATTTTGATATGTAATTTTTATTTTTTAATTCTACACCATTTGTCATATAAAATGATTTGAAAATAACTTCAGTCAAACATCGTAAACCGAAACAGGAGTATAATTTAGCTATAGATGGTTTTCATGACATTAGGAATCAATGGCATGGGATGACATAGGAGTGCTCCGGTGTCTCGTTCTTAAAATTGACGGTTCCAACCCCCTAACTCCCCCGGTAAATCCTTCCAACCCATCTCGACCCGAACACACCCCTTACTCCCTTCAATTGCACTCCCTAAGTTAATTTTGATTTTGGAGTCAAAATTTGACTCTAAAGTCAAAATTAACTTGAAAGTGTGCAATTGTAGGGGGGTGGGGGATTGTTCGGTTCGGGGCAGGGTGGGGGGTTTATCGGGGATAGGGAGGGTAGAAACCGTCAATTTTATAAACATGGTACCGGAGCATCCCCGGGTCATTCTATGATTGATTCTCAATCTCATGGAAACCAAGAAAATTTAGCTAACAATTATATTATATTATTTTCACTATTATAACACACTACTTATAATAATTATTAAATTATTATTTTATATCATACCAATTAAGTAATATGTAATTTAAAAAATGATACACGGTACTATTTTACTTTAGGTAGAATAATAAATACAGAGTAATATTTTAATTATTTTAAAATATCAATTAAAGATCAGAGATAAACACTTAACGAAAAGTAAAAAACTTTAGCTAAATATTTTGAGGCGAGTGAGAGAATAGGAGAGAAAGATATCAAATATTTAATCAATACCATACTTTGTTATATTTTAAGAAGCTTGCTATATATAACAAGTACAGTACAAGTTAAAATTTACCAAGCGTGCTACTCCGTATAATATAGTGAGCCCCTTAGAGCATCTCCAACCATTGAATTTTGGCTTGTTAAATGTCATTATTTGGCAATTCATTTCAATTTTTGTGCTCCAAGGGGCTTGCTATATTATAGCATACTTGGTAAATTATAACTTTGGCTTGTTATATATAACAAGCATCTCAAAATATAGCAAACCATGATTTAGATTAAATGTTTGATTTCTCTCTTCTTTTTTCTCATTCTCCTCAAGATATGTACGGAGTAATTACTTCCACTCTCAAATTTTTCACTTTTTGTAAAGTTTTTTTCTATACTCTTTAGTTGGTATTTATTAAATATTTAAAATAATTCTCCGTATATTTTATTATTTTCCCTAAAGTAAAATAATATTCCGTATTGTTTTTTGAAATTATTATTTTTAAATTACATGCTTATTACTTAATTTTTATAATATAAAATAATAATTGAATAATTATTTTAAAGAGTGTATTATAATAGTGAAAATAATATAATATAATTGTTAGCTAAATTTTAGCAAGAGAAGGTTGGAGATGACAATACAAAATGGCTTGCTATTACACTATTCCCATGCAAAAAAATGACTTTAGCAAGCCATGTTTAGCAATTGTGGTTGGAGATGCTCTTAGAGCATAAAATTTGAAATGGCTTGCCAAATTATGACATTTCATAAGCCAAAACTTAATGATTGGAGATGTCCTAAGTCGAACAATAATTTTAAATGGTGGTACAAAATCAAAACTAGGAAAGAGAGGTTGCGTTTCTGAAGAGTGAGCCAACTACAGTTATAAACTTGGACGTTAACCGTCTGAGACCCAGACAATTATCATCTGTGTAAAGTATGGGTATCCTAGCATTATTCTATAAACCTAAGAGTGCAGGCGCTTTTAATATATTGTAAATGAAAAAATATTGCCTCTTGTTCTGAGAATAAAGCTCTCACATTGATTTTAAAGTGCATGCCTGGAATTATCTAAAATTTTATACAGAGTAAATTTGAAAATTGATTCAAACTAAAAAAAATACTATATTTAAAAACTTAATCAAATACTTCCTCTGTCCATGAGAAGTGAGAACTTGTCTATTTTTAACTTTTTTCAGTCTAAATTAAAAAAAGTGACCACAAATTAAATAAAAATGATATTAAATATCATTACAAAAATATTTTAACTAGATTTATTTTATAAATGGTTTCAAAATACTATTTTATTTAATTACAATGTAGTATATATTTAATATAATTATAGATTAAATATTGAAGATAGTTAATTGTAAAAAAATCAAAAGTAGACAATTGCTCAGAAAAGGAGATTTATTTAACCAAAGAAGTGATTATTTAAATATTTGATTTCATCAAAGTGCCAAAAGAAATATATATAATATATAACCTTGTAAATGGTGAAGGAAAAACTTTATTTTGAGTGAAAGGAGTAAAATTTACTCCAATAATACTCCGTACATTGGTTCAAGTTCAAAAGATTGCTGATTTGCTATGCTAGAAGCTAGAGACACATTGCTGTACCAATTTCGTCTGGGAAAAAATACAAATGACAAAATCAAGACAAGCCATATATCTCTCTCTCACACAATATCTGTTCATTTTTTTCCCTTTTTGATTTACTCGTATACAACAACTGGATGCAGTGACCAAGCATTTCCCCTTTTGTTTTTTCTGTGTGTGTTCCAACGCAGAGAATGTGAAAAATAAGATGTTCATATCACAAGAAATAATCAATGGCCATTAAAGCTAACGAACGATGCCTAACCAGCAAATTATAATACTACGAGACCTTTCTTTAATGGCCAAAATTCTCTTCTGGGGGATGGGCTCCACCTGAGGCTCCTCTGCAGGTCGATGTGTAGCTTTCGCTCATATGCAACCTCTTCTAGACTCGAATAAAAGCCGATAATTGCCTAAGGAGCCATGGATTTGCCCTGTATGAGCACACATCTAAACCTTGAAATATATGCAGTGTCCGATCTCCAGAGTTTACGGCACTCTCAGGCATTAATCTTCCTGGAAGGGATAGCAGTTATTATTCAATGAGCAGTGTAGGATTTATGAAATCAGTAAATAAATAAATAAATAAATATGAAATATGGCTCCCAAACAATGCTTCAAGCAATCATTGTATTTGATGAAATATACCTCGAGTACAAATTCTGATATAAGATACTTGTTTCACATCTCATAAAAAACTTTCTGGTTCGACTTTCACGAAGTTTAAGAGAAATGTTGAAAAGAAAAAAATGGTTGAAATTTGTTTAGACGAGAGAAATTTTGTGAGCCACATGTTTATATCTTTAAAAGAAAATGAACTCTGAAGTTTTTTTGGCATAAAAAGGGAAAGTAGAATGATTTTTGTGAGAAAGGGAGTATCCTGGAGAGTTAGAGATTGGGTTCATGGGACATTCACATCAAAGAAAGATTTACCTGTTTAATATCATCCTTTACCAGCCTCAAATCATGAAGAGAAGTCTCAGTAATGCAGTTCTTGTGGACAATAGGACCCAGAGCAGGACCCATGTCAGCTCTAGGTGTCTTGTCAGCAAAATACTGACTACTCAAATAAACAGCGCCTTTGAACATCCACTGATCCATTTCAACACTGAAAACATCCTCAAAAAGCTGACCACATAAGATACATAAACACTGGCTCTCATCAGCGGGGACCATCTCCTCGGTACATTCCGGACTCCCGTCAGGATATTCGTTGAAACTAGTTGCATTTCCGAAATCCCATTCTGTTGAATTTACATACCACTTCCTTGAAGCCTTACTCAACATTTCCACATCTGAAATTCTGGATTCGTGCCAAATCAAATGCTTGTCGAGTTGTTCCTTGAGCTTTAGTTTATGACCACATGTATGGCACTGATGAGGAAGATCATCTAAAAGTTCATTGATCACTGCAGGATGTGGTTGACGAATAACATCTGGCTTAAAAACAACACCGATCAAACCATTCTGATCTCTTGAAATGGGCTGCCGTAAGCTATCAGAAGTTTTAACGACAGGTTTTGCAAAAAACTGGTCGCACTCCGTTGACAATGACGGATTTTCTTTACAGACAGGAGATGCTGAAGCAGTTTCCGAACTAGTATTTACAGTTGGACTCTGTCTTGGAATTTGAGGATCCACACGTGAATCAATAGGAACTGGGGACTGTTCTTTCGATGAAGTTATCAGTCCCTTCTCTACTAATGTACTCAAAAGGCTTGACACTGGACTAGAGCCAGCACCAGCCAAATTTTCACTAGCCAGGAGAGAAGAAATTCGGCTAGGTGGCAAAGGTGGTCTTTCCATTTGTCCTCCCTTGGAACGTGTACTGAGAACTGATGTATTCCCCTCTGAAGGCCGGCTTATAACAGCAGCAAGTTTGCTCTTCATAGTTGATGGAGGGGGATGAGTATCTGATTGAGATGACAAAGACCCTGCATCCTCGGAGTTTGATCTGGGCAAGTTGTCAATTGCCACATGATTAGTACCCAATATGCCACTGCTCATTACAGCAGCTAACAAGCTGCTAGTAGTTGCTTGCAAGGTGGGTTCAGCACAAGGAATATTTGAGTGGCCAGGTGCTGAAACCCCATGAAGTGGTTCAGTTGCACCTGAAATTTGAGAACTCAGCTGTCTCCTGCCTTGGTCCAGATATTCAGCCACCTTAGGTTTTGGATCTAAATGCTTAGAGAATGGAGAATGGTCCCTTCCTTGAGAAGATGTCATCATTGGAGAAGAATATGATAAACCTGGGGAAATTTTTCTCTGTGAATTACCGCCAAAATCGGCACTGCTAGAAAGAGTGTCCTGATAAAACCTCTGACGGGGATCTAAACTTGACCTCCTTGAAAAATGAGAAGTGCTAGTGTCTGCATTGTCTTGCTCCGTCATGTTGAATGATCCTTGATCATTAGATGGTGATGGTGAAAGCTGGTGCATAGGTGAGTGTGCAGAGGGAGATGCAGCAGCACGAGACTCCTTTTCCAAAGGAAGAGCATTTGAGGATAGTCCAAATTTTGTTTGGGAATTCGACAACCGATTAAAAGAAGTACCATAGCCTTCAGCAGACTGCCTCAAAAGGTCTCTAGCGGGAAGTACTGGAGCAGTAACACCATCTAAAACGTGTGGTTCTCTTGGCCACAGTGGTGACCCCTCCCCTCCTAAAGTTGATTGGCGTTTGTTTGCTACTGAAGAAATAGAAACATCAGGATTGAAACCTGATCCACCAGCATCCCTTTTGCTTTGCAATCTTCTTGGCTGGGTTTGCAACTCCTGCATACTCACAGTATGAGCCACAACCTCAAAGAGTAATAATGGTTTATGACTACGACAAACCAAACTAACAATAAATCTCAGATGCCCTTTATTAATAGTGTCAATTAATTGTATAAGATCCGCTAACACTAATTACACACAAAAAGCGTAGTGGCAATATTTAATGACAGATGCCCTTTGCATTGCAACCTTCGTAAAAAGGAATAATTTAAATGCCTAAACCCATCGCCATCATCTACTTCCACATGCTAATAGAATTGGCAAATCGGTTGGTAGGTCGGGTTTGGGTTTGGTCAGTTTGGGTTTGAGAACTGTGGGATTGGGTCAATTCAAGTTTGGGTTGAGAACGGTATGTTCATGACCCAATGTCATCCGGTTCGGGTCGTCCCAACGGGTTATGACTTTGGTTTTAAAATTTTTTAGATTCATATTAACACCTGCATTTCGCATTAAATGAAATTAAAATATAAAAAAATATGTGTTAAATCTATTATATTATTTTATTTTGAACTTTGAACTAATTTTTACGTATATAAATCAATATAAGAAATTTAAAAAAATGCATAATTTTTGGAAAAAAGTAAGATAATTATGCAATATCATTAAAATTTTGTCTGAAAATATAAATTTATACACTAAAAATGAGTAGTAAGAAAAAATATAATTATAACATTATATTTTAATGGTTCAGGTTTGGTCGGGTTTGCCCCATTTTTAGCAGGTCATTGCGGGTTCGGTCAACAAAACCTTTATTCAAAATCCAGTATTTTTGGATCGGGTTTCGAGTCAAAAACAGGTCGGGTTATTTTTTTTTAGGTCTACACATGCATGAAAAATATTATGAGGGCAGGGGAGTTGCGATATGTGTTATCTGCAAGCCCATTACTTGATTGATATTGAAAAACCTGGAACATGACTAAGCCTAACACACAGTTCATCACAGACAAACTCACCATTCTTTCAAATTCATCAGTTGCCCAGTGGTCTTTTAGTGAGTTTTTGGCTATAGCATGGTTGGGCAATCTTGAATGGATATCATCCCATGGATATTCTTCTTCATCAGAATTCTTCCAACTCCCATTCAACCCAGGACCAATTCTATTGGTAGAATCTTGTGCAGTGTGCATATATGCTTCAGCACTGGACGATTTGCGGGTCTGATAGTTTTGAAGGCCATGCTTGAGATCATAACCATTCCTTTCGCCGGATATTATACCCGTGGCACTGCTCTCAGAATCATACCATGGTTTATCAAAACCTTGTTTCTTATATTTTTCACTATTTCTTTCTGAATGTAAAGCAGGCCGCCTTGATATCTCAGAACCATAAGCAGGGTCTGAATATGCCATATTTGCAGTTCTCTCCACATTTAAGGTTTTCTCAAGGACAGGTTCATTCAAATGACTTCTCTGAACATTCTGAATATTCTGCAGCACAGAAATTTAAAGACTCATATGCTAATATTTAATGAAGATTAATCCACTTAATAAATGAAGAAATTCCCAAACTTGCATATTTTACTGAACCTTAATAGAAGGATCCACCCAAGGTTTTCCAGGACCAGAACTAACACTGGCTGTCCTTTCCAATCTCTCCACATCATCAGGTGAGCTTACAAAAGTTGCACTAATGCCACCAGTAGTTCCTTTTGCCTTTTTGTCACAATAAAACACATGGTGGAGAGGAAATTAAGGAATTGAAAGAAAATGTAGTGGTAGTAGTGGTGATAGCAGCAATTATACAACACAAAGAATAAAATCTTGAGATGCAAGAGCTTGATATGTACTCAACATACTCATGTGGCATAACATGATGAGCACTGAGATGCTACCACTGACTACCACCAATAGGCATGGATGTAGATTGATCATGAATTACAATTTATGCAACTTAAATGTAGACAATGATTATCTTGCTTCAAACCTATCATTCTTAAATAAATGTAGAATTATGATTCCTAGTATCTACTGCTTGGGAATGGAAGATCTACAGAATACAATTTACACATCAAGTAAATGTCGTGAAATCATAGAAAAAAATATCAAAAAATGTGAGCTTGGAAATAAAGTAGCATTGTAGAGGCAAGAGATGATATTGTTTTGGACAATTCATTTCAAAAAGCAAGCCTTAGATTCTTGAAATACAACTTACCCTAGGTGGCTGCTGTAGGCTCTGCCGAGCCTCCAAATACTTGGGGTTCACATGAATACTACGTGCAGGTCGAGGAGTCTGTGAATCATTTCTAGTTGTTCCTGAAGCTGAACCATTGACTGCTGTAAATCCAAGCTCCTTCTCTATTGATTGAAGAGTTAGTGGAGGGAAGACGCCCTTCCAAGTTCCAAAAAGATGCCGCATGCTAGAATGTATTGATGGATCCACCTGTCTATAAACCTTGCAGAAAACCTAAGATGCAGAAAAAAGGTGGCATCTCAGTAGGGCCAAACTAGAGGAGAAAGTAACAACCAACTGGGACTGGCAGAGCTTTTCTCAAACCAGTATTTTTTATTACTTATGTATGTGGAAAAATATAATGAATTCGGTGTTTAGGGGCCAACAGCAGGGAAATCACTATAGCAGTTATCTAACCTCAGGTAGTCTGATAGCAAAATACTTAATATAATCCCTCCCAATATTCTTCACAATACTGTCCAAAAGATAGAGAGATGGCAGCTTTTGATCACTGGGAACCTGCAAGATCATTTCCAGAACTACATCAATGGAAGTCTACTATTTTTTTAAATGGCAACCGAGAGAGGGCATAGTAAATGTACTGATTCCAAAAATACTAGTAATACAGCAAATTAGTACATAGTACGTACTAAATAACAACTGAGCGCATTATGGGATTTTATTGGGCTGGTTGTTGTTGAGCACATGCCCTAACATGGTTATATAGGTCAATTTAATAAAAATAATATCCACCAAGAGCATATATACACACACACACACACATATATATATATATCAATGTTAAAGTGTTCTGAATAAACTCAAAAGAGACAATTTGTTCTGCATGTAAAACAAGGGATGAGTTTCACAACCACAATAGAAACGTATTTCTACACAATTCTCTTCAAGATATACAGAAAGTGTTTACGAAACCTCCTGCAGTATCAAATGATACTTGAGAGTGATTTCCACTGCCCATCAGGGGCATTATGAATGCACTGCAGGCACTGACATACAACAACAACAACAACCCAGTTGGATCCCACTACAGTAGGGTCTGGGGAGGGTGTGTGTACGCAGACCTTGCCCCTACTCGAAAGCAGGGAGGCTGTTTCCAAGAGACCCCCGGCTCAACCTGCACAAAAAATATGATAGGGTACACAGTATAGCATGGGTAAAACACCAAGTACAATGAAAAGAAAGTTCTACAAGCATTAATAGAAGATTCCAATCAAACACAACACACTACATTTTTTGGAGACATCGTGGCTCAAGGATTGGTCGATGAGATTAGGATCAAGAGGTTTCCAAGGATAGATTTCGGTATAGGAGTCAGTCCCACTCTTCAGGATTTAGTACAGATTAGTGGAGGAAGGTTAAGAAGAATCCAGATGGGGAAGGGGATGAAGGGGGCTATTGGCATTAGGCGAGTGTAGAGGCATGTCCCCGGTCAGCATCCCACCGTCTCACATGACCAAACCATCTCAACCTCGCTTCCCGCAATTTATCTTCCACCGGCGCCATGCCTACCTGACGTCGGATAACTTCATTCGAAATCCTATCCTCAGTCAGGGTGAGAAGTCCTAAATCATGTCTAATTACCCCCTTCCAATTCTTCTTAGGTCTACCCCTTCCCCTACTGTAGGCACTGACATGGAAATGACATAACTTTGGTGCCATTGACATTGCAATATCATGTTTCCCTAAGGAGAATAAGTATGGCAACATAATTCAGAAAGCAAACTGTGCATTATATGATACAGTATCAATATTCAAACATTAATGAAATGGAAATCAATTTACTTATTTTCTTCATTTGCCCATAATTTATGAGGCCCAACATAATCTTCAAGGATCAAAACCCAGGTCTTTATGCAATTCATTAATTTAAACAACATAGTGGGACAGCACCAAACACAATGTGTCACTCTTCACTTTTCCAAACACGCCACAATCGAAATTAACTGGGCCACTAGATCATATCACATCTCTCAATATTCTCTATTTGTGACAACAGAGGACTTGCTGCAAATAGTTTGAAAATGCCAGCAATGTGGATAGCCAATCATGTGTCAGAAAATGTGAGTTCTTCCGGTATGAAACAAATAAAGAAAATGGAAAAATGAAGCACAAGAGTCACAAATTGATCATATTATGGAGATTCAACATGTTGCTCTGATTTCATCATTCAAGAATATAACATATCAAAATACGCATCAACATCCATCTAGTTCATTGCCTTGACACGTTTGGAATTCATAACTTTGGGGCAAATTTACAACATAAACCACAACTTTGGCTAGCAATTAAATACGGTAATCACAATAATTCTTGAAACCAATGCTAACTTTATAAAATAAAAAATAATGCTTTGAAGCCATGTTACTCGTATTTTGATCAGCACAATTTTACAATCAGTTTACTATTTGGCATACATACCCTACAGCCCACTGAGCTACACTGAACTACACAGAGCTCATCTAATTCATATGATATTTTCATGTACAATCATGAAATATAACACTAAATTGAACACATGTTTAAATCTGGAATATCACCTCAAGAATATTGGTACAGATCGTGGCTGCAATAGCCTTTGCAGCTGCCATACTCTCTCCAGCAATGATAGTCAGATTGGTAATTATTGGCTTCGAATTGATAGTCAGCTCGGCCAAAGCAGTCTTATACTGACTAACCAGCTCCTGATGATTGTGTTGCTGCTGTGGTTGTGGATATGATCCACGACCCGATTCACTGTTATCCGAATCTCCTCCCCTTTCGCTAGCTCTGAATCTTGCAACTGCCTGACTGGCGGCCGCCAAGCGTGTCTGTATCAAACTTCCTCCATTCGATATACGATCCGTGGGTGGATCTTCAGTTAACCTTGGCTTCTTTGGCCCTGGCTCCACTCTCGATCTGTCAAATGGCCTACGAGAATTTTGCATCTCCATAGATAATTCTCACAGCCAAAAGAAACCCCTTAATCCTCTCTAAGATACATCAGTTACAACGTTGCAGTACAAGGATTCACGCATGAAATTAACAGCAACACAAAAATAAGTGGAAAAAAACATGTATCTCATTCATTATTCTACGACGAATGAGAATTACAATAATGAAAAACTACGAAACTAAATCCGATCCACATATACTACAGATATAACCTAAGCTGGAAAAAAAACTCAAATTATACAACGGAAAATCTGAGATCCGGTAGCCAGGTCTGGGGAGCTTGATTGGGGTGGAAAGCTAGGGTTTCCCTCCGAGGGGAAGAAGTAGCAGGATAGTCCTGCCCTTGCAACCCACAATATTTATAGGATTTCACTTTTCTACATCAAAGGTGCATAGTAAAGGCATGTCCTTGGAAAAAATCGGTTCTTTGTTTCGGTTGTAAAATAATGTAAAAATAAAATTTAGTTATTAAAAAACACAAGGTTTCCATGACATTGCCCGACAATGTCAAGATAACCCGGAGTGTTTCGATGCCCCGTTCGTAAAATTGACGGTTTCTACTTTCTACCCACCTTAACCTTTTGGTAAACGCCCCTCCCTGGCTCGGCCTGAACACCCCTCATCCCCTCCAATTGCACATCACAAGTTGATTTTGACTTTGGAATCAAAATCAACTTGTGGGTGCAATTGAAGGGGATGGGGGTGTGTTCGGGTGGGGTGGGGGTTTACTGGGGGTTAGGGAGATGCAGTGGGTAGGAACCGTTAGTTTTACGAACGGGGCACCAGAACGCCCCCGGGTCATCGCATGACATTGCCGGGCAATGTCATGAGAACCTTGCCGTTAAAAGAAACTCAAAAAGATTTAGAAAAAAAATGGAAAAAGTTGGAAGATACTTAGAGGGTGTTTGGGATTACAATTGAAAATAACTTATAGCTTCTACTTTACTAAAACACAATTTTAAATGTTTGTTAATTTATTTTAGCTTATAAAGTATGGCCTTATAAGTTAAAATTAAGGTCTAGAAGTGCTTTCTAGCAAAGCTAAAAATACATGATTTCTGCTTCTAAATTATAATTTTTATTTTTACATAATTCACCACACTCTCAAACACCCTCTTAGAGAAGCTGAAAAAGCTAAAAAAGTTAATACTGTTTGGTTCAACGGTTTTGGAAGGAAAAGAAAAAAAGGTTTTTCCTCAATTTTCTCATCAAAATGGGAAAAGATTGATTTTTCATCCTCCTAAATATTTTGTTTTCTCGTTTTCTTTTCCATCTACTTTTCTTTTCTTTTTCTCTCTAACCAAACAACCGAAATATATTTTCCTTCTCATTTTTTCTCTTTTCCTTTCACATTCCTTGAACCAAACATAATGTAAAAGAAATTCAAGAAATTGAAAAAATGAAAGAAGCTGAAAAAACTAAAAAAAGATAATAAAAAATATTTAAATAATTAATTTACTTTATAAATTTCGTATTTTATATAAAAATGTATACTTTACTTTTTCAAATTTTTCATCTATTTTTATTTTTTTCTATGTCTTTATATTTGATCTCAAATTGTATTAGTAACTTTTATGTGATTCGCACTCAATCTTTACATTTTAAAATCAATACCCATCATATACGGAGTATTATTTTTTGTTGTATCTTACTAATCCACATAATAAAAAAGAGACAAATGAGTAAATACTTTTTTATTAATCTAAGGTGAAAGAAAAATAAATCTATTCATCCGCAAAATAAAATTTTTAGTATTTCATTTTTTGTATGTCTCGAGAATATTTAAACAATTTTTTTAACTTTTAAATATTTTACATTTATAAAAGTCAAATAAAGAATTTTTATACAAAGGAGGTAATATTTAATATACATCTGACATGACATATGTACATTTAAAAATTAAATAATATTAATCTTACACGATTATTTTTTACATGTTAAATTAATGTATGAACCTTTATTTTTTGCATATTCTTAGAACATCCATAACATAAAAATAGTGTTTGCACATTTAAAAGTTATGTGATACTAGATCTGTACCCATGTGTTGCACGACTAGTAATTTAGATGAGTGTAATAGTTATAGTGATTTGGTAATAGAGAAAAAAAAAGATGTATATCAATGAAAGTACTTGATCCGTATATTAATATTTCAGGGATTACAAAATAAGCGTAAGGAATATTGTTATAAAAGTAAAAAAGTTGAAGAGGTTAAAGGTTCTGAAAAACTTCTTTGTAAACAATGTTTGTTGTGGCATTCGAAGTGGGTACATCGTCCTTGCAAATTAACACATTTAACACACGGCGATTGAATTGGTTACTCGAGAGACGGTAACATATAGTTGTTCATGACTAAAGACTGACTTTTTGAGAAGTAATCCCACATGCTTCAATATTCTTGACTTTTGTTAATCGTCATTGCATAGGATGTCATAATTAAGAATTGTTTCCTTTGGAATTTGAAAGGAATTCTTGTATCTAAAGGATTGAGAGAAAGTCGAGGAATCACATTATCGTGGTCAACATTTTTACCACCCATCACTTTCCTTTAAATCAAGTTTGTCATTGGTCTTCTCAAAATAAGTCTAGTTCCATTGCACAAATCCATAGATTGGTCAATATTTCTCAACAACATAATCGGTGTCTCTACCTCTAGTTTTAGTTCATGGTTGGGAATGTCAGATGCCCTAATGTTATTTAAGAATTCTGGAGAATAAAAGTATTGGCACATTTGAATCTGATTTGCAAACACTATCCAAGTTTAGATATGTCTTCGCTTCCCCAATTACATGTATGGAAGTCATGTAATCATTTATCTCATCAACCACGTCCAATGTTGGTGCAAGAATACACGTTGTTGTAAGTAGGCTGGGTCTTTTGTAATATTATCAAAATCAGGGTAGGTAGCTTGAACAATTGCTATGATGAGATCACCTGTGTCTCGCAACACCATATCTTTTGGAATATTAACATCGCAGCAACCATCGTCTTCTTGTCCATCAAGACCATCACCAATACTTGCTATCTAATTTGCAAAGTCTAGCATACTTTCGTAGCTACTATCATTAGCCATTTGATGAAAACACATATTCTTAGTGAGATGCAATACCATACAAAACTGGCAAATATACGAGGAATTAACTGCAGCATTAACTATGTATTGTCTAGTCCATTTGGGAATCACTAGTAGTATTTGGTGCAAGTCGCCTATAAAAATAATTGTTTTTCCACCAAATGCTATCTTTGCATTTTTTGGATCATGAACTGACTTATATCGCGCAAGGTTCTATCAAGTGCTTTGGAACAAAATTTATGATCAGTTTTGTTCGCAAGAGTAACTCTGCTAGCAGTGTTCCGTGTTTAATGTTGCAAGTGGAATTTTCATATAGACTTTTTGGAAAGCCAAATCGCGAGTACGTTGTCCTTCCTCTAGGAAGTAGCAATGATGCAATGTCGCTTGAAGCAACATTTAACACTATTTCCCCTTTAGAGCGTAATTTGGGAGAAAAGTCTTTCACATGAAAGTCTTTCTTATACCATCGCAACCATAAACAAGAAAACTCCACCCTCTCTATTCTATACAGCTCTCAATATTAGAGTGTATGCGTCCAACTGCTCTTTATTTAAAGATCTCATCATGTCAACATGTTCGCGTGCCAATGTTGTTTGATCATATTGAAGTTCATCTATTATTAACCTATTGCAGGTGGTTGAAGATGCATCCATGTTTGGAAAAGGCATTTCATTATAGTCGCAGAGATCCCGCTAGGGGGACACATGCCCCATCCCTCCTTTGCGCCTGTTAGAGAAAAGGACAAAGGTAGGAGTAAAACATTGAAAAATATACTAAAATAAGACTTTCATGTTTTTATTTTCGAAATAAGATTTAAAATGCATTTACATTACCAAACATGATCATATACATTATAAAAAAGTATAATAATGTATACATGTACAGTGCCACATTACCGCAATACAAAGTCATATTCCAATAATAAAAACATGAAGTCATATTTTGATACCTTTCTCTATATTTTAGTTCTATTTAGGGTGATTTCAAACCATGACGGACGGAGGAGTACAGATTTTTATATTTGCATTTTAAAAAAAGTTTGAACTAGAACATTTCAAAACATTTCAAATTATCCCGGTAAAAAATGAAAATGACAAAATAGGACAATCTCTTCCGTGTCCACCCTCAATACAAATCCTAAATCTAACCATAACCCTATCCAGATTATCCGTTCCAGTTTTCATACCACTATGCTCTACACCTCACAATTTCATATCCTCTTTTTCGTTTTTCACACTTTTGAAAAGGTAGGCTAGCGCCATCCTCCATTTTCACGCAGAGAGAAAAAAGATCGGAGAAGACGAAGAGTAGGGATCACGAGAGTGGGGCGAAGCGCAGGGGCTGGGGTTCTATCCCCATGGACAACTTACTGACGACTCAGGAGTAGAAGCGGCGGAGGGAGTTGGGCGCAGAGGAAGGAGTCGATTCGGAAGGCACGCAACTTTTCCATAATCAAAGCGCAACTTCGTAACTTTTCCATCCTTTTGTTTTATTATTCATTTATTTATGCATTTTCATTTTTAAATATTGATTGTGTGTACTAGGGTTTTCCACAGCTTCGAATTAATGCCTTATTTGAACCAGAAGCTGATTTGATTTTTCTATTAATACCCAAACGGCTCTGAATTTGGTTTTTAATCTGATTTAAGGTTGATTTGTCTCTGTTTTGAATCCAATATGTGGTATGCTTGATGTGTGGGACGCTATGTTGAATCCAAGCGTTTTTACTCTTCAAAATGAAGTAAATTGAAGTGTGAATAATGTGCTGATTTCCATAACCTATACATCATTTTCGAAATCAGTCTAAGTTCACATTATAAAGTGTTTGTGGAAGTGTTTGTCTCTTGTTACTGTGAGTAAGTTTCAGTTTCGGCATTTTGTTTTTTGTGGTTGTGTGCTAGTTTTTCTTGTCTGGTTGGTGTTTGTGTGTGTTACTTCAATTATCAATTTTTAGTTTTCTTTGCTTATTTTATATTTCAAAGCAACCCCCAAATATGTTTTATAAACTAATATAAGTATGCCCATACATTTAACACCACCATTTGATTTCTGTCTCTAATTTCGTCGGTGCTGTTCAGTGCATTAATTGATCTCATTTTAGGTCGTCCAACATGCAATACATTTGTCTCTTACTTTGTACGTAGGTGTTGTTCAATGTGAAACTTTTAGTCATTTAAGATTGTACAGCATGTGGTACATGACTTGGGAGAAATGTTTGCTTCTTTTGGTCTTGTATGAAGTTTTAATTTTACCATGTTAAGTGTATCCAACTTTGGGTACTTAATGAGTTAGCAAGCTTGGGTAACATAAAACTTCCGAGGTTCACCTGTTAAACTGTCCTGATCCAATAAGAGGGGTTCTGTTGATAAAATTTACTCTGTACTTGTAACTGATGTTGCCGATTGCTATCGTGACTCACTACATCACATTTCCTCTCTCTCTGTTTGTGACATTAACATAAATCTTTTTGTCATTTTTTTAAGGAACGATGGAAGTAAGTGGCAGCCAGAAAGGTGGAATATTATGGTTCTTCAAGGATAAAGGTTTTGATGACAAAAGCATCCAAAACATGTTTAGAAAATGCAAGCGGCTTGAAACCTTGGAAAAGGAAAAAGCCTCCCGAAACTGGGATTATTTCCGAAGCTTGGGTATTCAAGAGAGGAAACTTCCACCTGTTGTGATCAAGTGCCCAAAAATCCTCACATTTGGCGTGGATGAGACGCTTGAGCCAATGGTTCAATGCCTCAAAACATTGGCTACAAAACCCGAAGAGGTTGCTACAACTATCATCAAGTTCCCTTACATTTTTTCCCACAGTGCTGAAGGAAAATTGTGCCCTTTATTAGGTTTTCTTGAGGCACTCGGGATTCCAGAAAAGCAGATTGGGAAAATGGTGTTGCTGAATCCTAGAATCATCAGCTATAGTATAGAACGGAAGCTTGCTCGGCTAGTCAATTTCTTTGAGAAGCTTGGCCTAACTGATGAAGGTATGATTGGCAAAATTCTGGTGAAGAATCCACATATAATGGGTTACAACATTGAGAAGAGGCTGCAGCCTACTGCCGACTTTCTAAAGAAAGTCGGCTTGGGAATGACAGATCTTCAGAAGGTGGCTCTAAATTATTCAGAGGTTCTGTGTAGAGACGCTAACAAAGTCCTTGAACCTAACATCGTCTATTTGAAGAGCACTGGGTTTAGTGACAAGCAGATAGCGACTGTGGTGTCGGGTTACCCTCCTGTACTGATAAAAAGTGTTAAGAACTCCTTAGAACCAAAGATGAAGTTTCTAGTACAAGTGATGGGTAGACAAATTCAGGACGTTGTCGATTATCCAGAATTTTTTCGATATGGGTTGAAGAAGAGCTTGAGAATGAGGCAAAAGATTTTGGCACAAAGGGACATTGATTTTAGCTTGAAGGAGATGCTTTACTATAACCGAAATAAGTTCTGCCTGAAATATGGTTCAACTTAGGTTTAAGTATCTTCCTCTTTTCTTACTAGTTTCACGAGCTACTTGTGCATTACATTGCTATGGCAAAATACATTGTTGGTTGTTTTTATATTGATTTGGTGTGTTGAGCAAAAAGTCCCAAATCTATGGACTGTGGACAACAATTCTGTAAGGATCCCTTTATTCCAATTATTTGTTTAAGGTCATCATTATCATTTCTAATTAGTGTTAGAGTTTGGGTTCTTTTCTTTATGGTGCAACATTTAAAATGCTAAAGCTAAATGTTGTCGTTAAATAGTTTATTTTTTTAAATGGCTAAAGACTAAGTTATTGTTAAATCATTGTATATAAAAGAAAAGAGGTTGATGAATAGTGTCCCCACCAATTTTTTGCCTTCACGCAATCATTCTAAAACCAATGTCTCATTTACTTTTGAATAATTTTCTTAAAATTCATGAAGTTAAATTGTGATAATTAATTGAATACAGAGGGTGTACAATTCTTTGTAGCAGTGAACAAGTACTGAACTAATCCCAAATTTACCGAACAATCGAAAATACCAAACTAAAAAATACCGTCAAAAAACAGGACTGTACTAAACCAAACGATTGGTATGATATCTGGAAAGGAAACGAGGTAAATTCTCATATAAAAAATCTTGATAACTGGGAAGGGAACATATATACAAATATGATATAGAGTATAAAAATAGTAGTAATCTATTTATATTTCCTTTGTAAATAATAAATTTATTTTGAAAGTTTGGTTTGAACTTTATTATGTGCAAATTATTCATTTATTTGTTTTTTAGTTTTTTTTTGTAAATAAATATAAAAATATTAACACACGTTTGAAATATTCTATACTATTTCCTTATCGTTTGTTTTCTTTAGTTTTTGAAATATAAACTAAGTTTCATAAGCACTTATTTCATTCAAATATTCAATGATGCATTTTTAAGTTTTTTATTTCTTTAATTAAATGTGCTTTTGATTTTTTGTTTAAAAAAATAAAAGATACTGTTACATTTTAAAGTAGAAATTGAGTATATCCCGATCTATACGGAAACTAATCCAAACATCGCGGTACTTCAAAATTGAGATTAATACAACATAAAACCAATCAAACCAAAATATTTGATACAATATCGATACAAAATGTTGTACCTAGGGCTGGACACGGTACATGTACAGTACCGCTACCGGAAACGGTACCGCCGGTACCGCTACCGTCACCGCCGGCGTCACGTCTCTCCGGTTCCGGGGAACCGGTACCGGCACCGCCCCCCACGGTACCGGTTCCGGTGCCAGTATTTCGGTACCGGCACCGGCGGTACCGGCGGTTCCGGTACCCATTGAATTTTTTTTTTGCTTTTCCCAGTAGATCGACCGGCACCTATTTCCACCTCTCTTTTTCTTGTTTCTTCAGCCTTCTGCTCTGCTTCAAGGATGGCCAAGTGCCCAGGTAGAGTTTGAACGGAGTATATGTTTAGGAGTTAGGACGGTATATTATTTTTTTATTTCATTATTTCCCTTAACTATTACATATTTACAATTTTAAACTTTTAAAAATTTAAAACAAAAAGCAAAAAAAAAATTGGAGGTTGCCGAAACCGGCCGATCCGGTACCGGAACCGCCGGTCCAGGTACCAGAACCGGTACGGTCCGGTCCGATCACGGTACCTGTACCAAGGGGTGGCGGTACCGGAACCGGCGGTTCCGGAACCGGAATCGTCCCAGAACCGTACCGTGTCCACCCCTAGTTGTACCATACTCACCCAGTCACCCTCATCTTTCGTTTTAAAAAAGGAATACTTTCCATCGAGCAAAATACAACGGGCTTTGTTTTTTCATACGGCGGTAAAGTTGCATTGAAAAGTAGAAAACCAGACGCCAACTCTTTTGGTTGGTATTCGGTAAAAAATTTAGGAGGGGTTTCTTGCAGGAGGGGTCGAGATTTTTCCATAAAACCCTACGCCCAAGCCTCTCTTTGAATCATTCATTCATTCATTCTACGCTCCACAATTTCCTTTCTGCTTACCAAAAATCTCTCTTGCATCGCTCGTCTTCTTCAACAACCAGCCAGCCATGTCTTGCTTCAGAGGGGAATATGCCGGTAGCCTCTTCCATCAATTCCAATGTTTTTTTTCATTGATGTTATTTTCACTTTGATTTCACGTTCTGTTGGACAATCAATCTAGAACGAATCATTTTGTTGATCTGATTTTATATCTCTACTTTATTTTCCATCTCAGTTTGATCTCATTCTACTCTGAAATTGATGATTGTTATTGCTGTGTTTATGTGTCGTTGTAACTAGTATTTGAGCACTGGTTTGCTTTATTGACTAGGGTATTACCCCCATTGGTAGTCCAAAGGTGGATCCAGAATTCAAATCAAACAGTTTTGTATATCTGATCAAAAAAATGTTTCTCATTGGATTTGAGTCTGGGTCTTTTGCAAATGGGAATACCCTCTGTTCTTTGATCAACAAGTTTTCATTGTGTTGGAAATGATGCCAACTGAAACCATTGAGATAACATTGGATCTGCCTTTGATACTATTCTTAATGGATGAATTGACATTTTTATGTGATTGATATGTTGTGAACAGAATCTGTTTGCTTAAGTTGTGGTTTTGGTGCAAGATCTGTTTTCATTGCGTCCGAAATGGCTGAATTCACAGAGAATCTGTTGTTCTGTTGTTTGTTTGATGACATCTGATAAACTATCATATACCATAAATCATTTGGTGATTTCCTACTCTTACTTACATCCAAACAAATGGACTACTTTAACTGAAACTCATTTAGATCAGTAGGTATTTACTCCGTATGTCTGATCATGATGCGGATTTCTTTCTATGAACATTGTAAAACCTGCTTACACAATGGGCAGAATGCGACATTTTATAAATTTTCTTCTTGGAATTGCTGTGTTAAAGTTAAAGTGCATTTTCACATGATGTATCTGTATGGTTAGACTAGGCATTGCGGATGAGTTTTCCAACTTTAGATCATGCAATCAATTTTAAAATGTTTTTTTCTAATTGCAATGGTTAATGGTTACTTTACCATATCAACTTTTGCAGATGAACTCATTGCTAATGCTGCCTATATTGCCACCCCTGGAAAGGGTATCCTTGCTGCTGATGAATCCACCGGCACTATAGGGAAGCGTCTATCAAGCATCAATGTCGAGAACATTGAGGAAAACAGGAGGGCTCTTCGTGAGTTGCTTTTCACAACTCCTGGTGCCTTTGACTACATCAGTGGGGTTATCTTGTTTGAGGAAACGCTTTACCAGAAAGCTTCATCTGGTATGTGTGTCAAACACTGATTCTGCAGTAAAAAAACAGGACCATTTTGTCCTCTTTGATGCGGAAATTTTTATTCAAACTCTATTGTTTCAGGCATACCCTTCGTTGAGCTCATGAAGAAAGGTGGAGTCCTTCCAGGGATCAAGGTGGACAAGGGTACCGTCGAGCTTGCTGGTACAAATGGTGAGACCACTACTCAGGGTCTTGACGGGTTAGCTGAAAGGTGCAAGAAGTACTATGAGGCTGGTGCTAGGTTTGCAAAATGGAGGGCTGTTCTCAAGATTGGCCACACCGAGCCATCTCAACTTGCTATAAACGAAAACGCCAATGGTCTGGCCCGTTACGCGATCATCTGCCAGCAGAATGGACTTGTACCCATTGTTGAGCCCGAGATCCTTGTCGACGGGGCCCATGACATCAACAAATGCGCTGATGTCACAGAACGTGTCCTTGCTGCCTGCTTTAAGGCCCTCAATGACCACCACGTCCTTCTGGAGGGCATCTTGCTGAAGCCAAACATGGTCACACCTGGCTTTGACTCTGCCAAAGTCTCCCCTGAGGTGGTAGCCGAGTACACCGTCCGCGCATTGCAGCGTACCGTGCCTGCTGCATGCCCTGGTGTTATGTTCTTGTCCGGCGGTCAGAGCGAGCACGAGGCTACCCTTAACCTTAATGCCATGAACAAGCTCAAGGAGACCAAAAAGCCGTGGAGCCTTTCCTTCTCCTTTGGGCGTGCTCTTCAGCAAAGCACACTCAAGGCTTGGGCCGGAAAGGAGGAGAATGTCAAGAAGGCACAGGAAGTTTTCCTTACAAGGTGCAAAGCCAATTCCGAGGCGACATTGGGAACCTATTCTAGCTCTGCTAACCTGGGCGAAGGTGCCTCTGAGAGCCTTCACGTCAAGGATTACAAGTACTAAATGTGTTCCTTTGCTTTTTGAGAGGATTTGTTATTGCTCCTTCTTTATCTGGTTGTTTGCCCTTTTGGTCATTCTGCAGAGTCCTTATGTTGGCTTAGGTCTTTGTTTCAATAACTGCTCTTGGAAGTATATCCAACTTTTATTTTGTTCGTCTCCCTTTTTTTGTTGTGTCTATGGGTGCGGTAGAAAAAACTGAAATAAAAGGTTTGAAGGCAGATATCCTTTAAGAGATTCAATGTCCATATCCTCCTTAATTTCGAACACACCATGAAACCAGTCCCAAGTTGTGCCGAATAATAACACCTTCAGTTAACGCAAGAATAAATACTCCAATATGTATCACTATATTGACTTTTGAGGAAAAATAGATTTTTTCCCCTACCTTTTGAAAGACAAAATAAAAATTTAAAATGGGGTTCGATGGAGTATTACACGATATAAAGAGACTAAGAAACTAGTTTAACTAGGAAAAAAAGGAAGACACCAATATAAAAAGAAAGGCAAATTTTTTTGTGGACGTAAGGTTCTGCTCATTTTATGGATCCTAATGTATTTGTAGCATAAAAGAAGTGGACCTTTTGCAAAAATATATACTCATGTGCAAATCTATGAAAATGTAAGAAAATTCATATTTTAAATGTGGACTTTAAGACCATGTAAGCATTACTCCACATTGAGAGCATTTTTACAACGAAAAAGAGAGTAATAAACAAATAATTTGACACGATTTGTAAAAGTAGAGCTCACAATACATTACATGTGACCAAATGTAAAATGTAACGCTGTGTTTGGTTGGAGGTAGGTGAAGGTATGGTGAGGTGAGATTTAGAAGCTACCTTGTTTGGGGAATCAAATCCGGGAAGGGAGACGAAGGTAGGGGGAGGTAGCCTAGCCGCGTAACAGTGAAAAAAACCCTACCGCCGATTCTCCGGTAACTCGAGGTAAGTTTTGCGTTTCCTTCTTCTTCTTCTTCTTCCTCGGATCTCACTTCTTCCGTTTTTTGTGACTGTTTCTCTGATTTCTCGGATTTGCGACTCTATCTTCTTCTCGGATTTCTTGCAACTGTTTTTTGGGACTGTTTTTTCTTCTCGTTCTTTTGCTTTCAATCTTTTTCTTTTTTTGCTTACAATCTTTTTCCTTTTCTTTTTATGTGTTTTTTTGTTTATGATTTTCTATTTTTTACGCTTGTTGTTTTTTTCAGTTTTATTTTTCATTTTTTTCTGTTTTATTTTTTCTATTTTTCAAATTTATTTTTGCTTGGGTCTCTCTGGATACCTGAGGACAATTTTGAAGACAATTTTGCCATGTGTGCTTTAGTTGCTTCCATTAACACTACAGTGAAATTGCATGGATTTTCCATGTTTTTACCTCTTGAATTGATATAATTTTTTCCTGTTTGTTTGATATTGCTTACTTCAATTTTCAGTTTTCATTCTTTTTCAGTTTCAAGTTTTCTTTTTTTTTTTCAGTTTTCATTTTTTTCGTTTAAATTTCAATTTTCAGTTTTTGTTCTGCTCTTCCATGCCGCGATTCAACAAATAAAGAAAAACAACCACAAGGATATTTTAGTAATTTTATTCTTTCCTTACCTCATGTTACCTAATAAACATCCAAACACAATTTTTTAATTCATTACCTTACTTACCTACCTTCATTTACCTACCTTCAATTACCTACCATTACCTACCTAATAAAATTTTTACCTACCTCCAACCAAACATACCCTAAAACTTATGCTCCGTAGGTTCTAATTGACAACATATTACGAAGACAAATAATCTAATACCGTACTCCATCATATAACTCTGTAATATATATTTTAAAAATGGATAGGTCGGCTAACCCTTACGGGCTACGGCTCAATCTTAATTCTTATATCTGGCCATATAAAAATTGGGTCTGATGCAATCTATCCATATAGGTAATTATTGTTGCTCGCATCTGTCTATTTTTAGAGCGGGCTGGATATGCTGGGTCTAATGACCCTTGTTTGCACAAGTATACTCTTTTTTAGTGTCATCCGATTACTCTGGATTGAAACCCACAATGAAGAAGGGAGGAGGACAAAGAGATTGAGGCAAGAGTAGGAGATTCAAAGTAAGAACCATCAATTTCGTGAACGAGACAATATATGTACTCAAAAATGCTCAACCATAAGAGCTCATAGCCCCAAGTGTGAACCTAATCATAGATAGCCTACTATTTTAAAGCCTATTGAAAGCCCAAAGCCCAACAATAAAAGCTTATAGCCTTCATGGTGGTTATCCATCGGCCATCATAGATACTATTTTATCAGTCCCATATCTTTTTTTGCAATGCACAATTTTAATATCATAAGAACTTTTATTTAATTGTGTTTTTTCATGGTCTATATAATAAAATAAAATATTTTTGTCATCACTTATCTTGTTGAATTTTTGATGTATTTTTTAAATATATAAATTTTATTTTTAATTTTTATATCAATATTTAAATAAAATAGATTGAAAAAAATATATTCCTCGTTTTGTGCAACGTGAAGAAAGATATGGGACGGAGAGAGTACTTCCAAGCCAACTCGCTCAAGTATTGCTAGAGTCACAAACAAACAATTCACAAAATTTACAAATTTTCCTTTTGAACATTTCACTATGAATAAGATGCACTCAAATAATAAAAAATATTTAAATTTAAAATTTACAAAAGATAAGTTTGTGAAATGTTTTTTTGTCACTCTAGCATTTTCGGAAAAATAATGATCCTTCTAGTTTGTTTGGATGAGAGCTGCGAGAATTACAGAGGCATCAAACTGCTTAGCCACACCATGAAGGTATAGGAGCGAGTCATTGAGTATAGGGTGCGGAAAGGGGTATGCATCTCTGAGAACCAGTTTGGTTTCATGCCTGGCAGATCGACTACAGAGGTCATTCACCTCGTGAGGAGGTTAATGGAAGAGTATAGGGCTAGGAAGAAGGACCTTCATATGGTGTTCATTGATCTCGAGAAGGCGTACGATAGGGTGCCAAGGGAGGTCTTATGGAGGTGCCTTGAGACGAGAGGAGTTCTCATCGCGTACACTCGCGCGATCAAGGATATGTACGATGGGGCTATGACTAGGGTAAGGACCTTCGGGGGCGACTCTGAGTCATTCTCGGTAGGGATGGGGTTGCACCAGGGGTCTGCCCTTAGCCCTTTTTTGTTTGCCTTGGTGATGGACGTCCTAACTCAAGGTGTGCAGGAAGGGGTCCCATGGTGCATGCTTTCGCGGATGATATTGTGCTTATCGACGATACACGTGAGGGACTAAACGATAAGTTGGAACGATGGCGCCTTGCCCTTGAGACTAAAGGGTTCAGAATAAGTAGGAACAAGACTGAATACATGGAGTGTCGTTTCAGCGGCAGGGAAACAGAATCAGAGGTGGATGCTAAGTTAGGATTGACTCTCACCTAGTACCTAAGATAGACAGGTTTCGATATCTTGGCTCGGTAATCCAGGCTGATGGGGAGTTAGACGGGGATGTTGGACATCGTGTTGGAGTGGCTTGGGCCAAATGGCGGTTGGCTTCAGGGGTATTGTGTGACCCGAAGATTTCGTCCAGGATGAAAGGCAAGTTTTACCGATCCGTAGTCAGACCTGCTATGTTATATGGGGCAGAGTGTTGGGCGGTTAAGAAGACTCATGTGCGTCGTCTGCATGCGGCGGAGATGCGGATGTTACGATGGATGTGTGGAAAGACAAGGTTGGATAGGATTTCGAACGAAGTTATCCGACGTCACCATCCGTACCGCGGCCACCTTCTATTTAACGCCCTTCGCTCCAACTCTACCAAACCAGTACACTCTGCCGCCCTACGACTGCGGGGACATGCCTCTACACTCGCCTAATGCCAATAGCCCCCTTCATCCCCTTCCCCATCTGGATTCTTCTTAAGGAAGGAGGTGATTAGACATGATTTAGGACTTCTCACCCTGACTAAGGATATGACTTTAGATAGGAACCTTTGGAGAACTAGGATTAGAGTAGCTGGTTAGGAACTCGGTGCTACAGAGGTTTTTTGTAGTGTGTTGTGTTTGATTGGAATCTTCTATTAATGTTTGTAGAACTTTCTTTTCATTGTACTTGGTGTTTTACCCATGCTATACTGTGTACCCTATCATATTTTTTGTGCAGGTTGAGCCGGGGGTCTCTTGGAAACAGCCTCCCTGCTTCCGAGTAGGGGCAAGGTCTGCGTACACACACCCTCCCCAGACCCTACTGTAGTGGGATCCAACTGGGTTGTTGTTGTTGTTGTTGTTGTTGTTGTTGTATAGTACGTTTGTTTGGATGAAAAGAGAAAATGAGTGGAAGAAAATGAAGAGAAAATAGAAAGAATAAGTATTTCATTTGTTTAAAAATAAATAATGTCTTTTTTTAAAAGAAATTTTAATTCATTAATTAACCAAAATGTCCACAATAAGTTCAGGAGGAGGGATATCCCACATAGAACGATGTGAAGAAGCACTTCTCGCTAAAGTATGAGCAACAGAATTAAAAGATCTACAAATAGAACATACGGATGCTGACTCAAAGGAAGAAAGTAAAACATAACAATCTTCAATCAACGAACCAAGATATGAAGAAAAGGGGCCATGATCCCGTTGTTCAGTAGCTGTGACCAACTGTCAGAGGAAAAGCTTGAATGCACGAATAATGCCTCACGACATGCCACCCAGATACCATGTAACAATCCTCTGCTTTCTGCATTCTATAAAAAGAAAGACAACCCCTCTGCACAGATAATAAACAATAACGAGCCAAGAGGATCACCTTGTCGGAGACCTCGTGAAGGCACAATAGGATCTGTGAGAGTGCCATTAAAAAGCACTCGATAACGGACCGTCACGATACAAAGCATGATAAGTTCTATATTAACACAAAACATTACGTACCTAGAAAATTTTTTTTTGGTGTTTGATAGATCAAAATATTGGAATTTTCAATTTTAACAACCAAATGGACAGAATAGTCTCGGATTGCATTAACATGAATTTTAAGGATTCTTAGAGTATATTTCTGATAGTGAGAGACTTAAAAATCCTTACTAAAAACTGAGGGTATCTTAGAGTAAGTTTTCTGCAAACAATATATTCATGTGACCAAAAAGTAGGAGATATTGATTGAAAATTTGCGGGCTTGGTTGAAAAGTGTTAAAAAAATCTCTCTGTTCCTAAATGATTTACATATTTTACTATTTAAAAATTACAAAAACTTTTGTTTATTTATGTGTTTTTCATTGATTATTTGATGAAATAAAATATTCTTGTCACCTTTTATTTTGTAGCATTTTTGATAAACTTTTTAAATATGTAAATTTTATTTTTTATTTATATTCAAATCTTTAAATAAAATGAATTAACAAAATTGAGATTTTATTTTATTTATGTAAAGTGTAAATGATTTATGGACACAAGGAGTAGAAAGAAAAAGTGAATAGTTTAAATTTGGAGATAAAAAATTGGATTGATGTGATATAAAGTTAAAAGTGAAGTATTTGTAATTCTTTTTGGAACGAAGGGAGTATGAATGTGTTTTTCTCTGCTAGTGGTTATTGGCTTATTGCTGATGAGCAGATTTTAACTTACAAGTTGCTTATAAGTCAAATATTCGTTAATCGAAATAAAATGATTTAAATGATAGATAAGTCACTTGGATAAATATTCATAAATGGTAACCGATAGTTTTTTAAATAATCTAGTCAAAACAGAAAAACAATAAGACTAACTTAAAAATAAATAGCTAAGACTTAGTTATTTTTTGGCTTATAAGCAATTATAAGTTAGCTTATAAGCATACAGAAACATTTTATCAGTTGACTTATAAATTAAAAATTTCTTATAAGCATGGAAAAACACCCGCATAATTTGGATACATTTGCACCCTAAAAAATCCACTTTGAAAAGCATTACTACGGAATAGAAAAGACCATTTTCATAACTTATTCTAATTTTGAATGATAAAAATACTAAAATACTAGTTTTCTACCCCGTGCTTCGCACGGGCTTGGGATGTGTTCACGTGTCTATTTAATAAGATTATCATTGTTAAACTGTTTTGGTAAAGCTATGTAACATTTTGAATACAAATTAAATATAGTTTTAAATAATTAAATATCATAAAATTTTGATTTATGAAAACAATATTTTAAATGGACACAATTTTTATAAATTTACACACTTTGCCGTCAAAGTATAGAGCCACTTGACCAAAAATATCAAATTGTTATTAAATGATATACTAATGAAAATTTATTTGACTAATGAAAAAATAAAATAAAAATGCCAAATAAATTAAGGTAATGATAAATCATTAAAAATACATATGCGGTATATGGCCTATATGCCAAGTGTTATACTTCAAGAAAAACAAATTAATTTAATTTAATTTGTTGAAATTATTTTAATAGTGTTACAGATAAAATATTTCGAAATAAAATACAATATATAGTTAGTAAATATATAATTAATCAAATATAGTTATTTGGTAAAATAACAATATAAAATCAATAAATGGTGGATTGTTTATATATATATATATATATATATATATATATATATATATATATATATATATATATAAAATGTTAGTTCTTTTTCAGGCTTCGCACGGGCTCACATGTAATCTAATATTTGACATCTAAAAAATAAAATATTATCTATTTTAATTCTTTAATATGATATAAGAAGTTTATAAAAACCTAATAAAAATAAATATGTATTTATGACATCACTTGTGGTATCACTTGTGGCATGGTGTGCACACCTGATGTGAAAAGTTTTATACAGACTAAATGATCACTGATAAAATAATAAAGAAATAATTTATAATTAAAAAATTAAAATAAAAAGTTTTAAATGAATCAATTAAGTAATGCCACATAATGAGAAAATACAAATATTACATACAATGTGTATCATGTTTCAACTCTAAATTTGTTTTGTTTAGTTTGTTGAAAAAAATATACACCATATACTCAAATATACTTCGTAGTATGTAATAGGATAAAAAGTTTGAAATAATTTTGTATTTAATAAATATTTATATGTGATAAAAATGTTATAATACTGCTTTAAAAATTTAATAACAATAAATTTTCTTTTTGCCCAATAATAATGGTTATTTAGTGCAAGAAAGGGAAGAGTTTATAAAATATAATAAATATAAAAGTTATTTAATATACAAAAGTGAAGGCGTCTCATAACTTTAATAATAATAAATATATACATGTGGCATGACATAGGCCGAGGTGTAATGCACACGTGACCTAAAAATTTTATACAAATGTAATGGTTATCAAATAAAATAATAATGAAAATTGTTTTAACTAATAAAAATTAATAGAAAATGTCAAATAAATACATTAAGTAATGACACACCATTAGAAAATGCATATCTGTCTTGTGCTACATGTAATCCATCAATTAAACTTTCACTTTGTTTAATTTGCTAAAAAATATATAACAAAATAAGACAAAAATTTGAAATATCTTATGAAGTTAATAAAGATGCATGTGTGATAAAATTTATACTCCGTATATAATAGTTTCTTTTGAGATGCTCGATAATTTTAAAAATTATAAGAAATATTTTTTTCTTAATGAACAAATTTTATATAATTTTTTAATATATAAAAAAATATTTCTAAAATAGTTAGGAAGTGAAAATTTAATAAAAAAGAATGAAAATAAGGGTTTTTTATTGTTTGAAAGTGAAGGATTTATAAAATATAATAAAAATAATAATTTAGTGCAAAATTAAATATGCATATGTGGAGTGACACGTGTCTTGCGAATTACATGTGGCATGACACATGTCAGTAGTATGCACGTATGGCATGACATGTGTCATCACCACAAAAGTGTAGGACCTCAGGCGCTACCAACTCTTCTAACACCAATTGGTTTTAGAAGAGTTGGTAGTGCTTGAGGTCCTACAAGTGGTATCAGAGCCAAGGTCACGAGTTCGATTCCCAGCGGGAGCAATTGCTGAGGGGGAGATTGTTGGCCATGTGTGCAGCAATTGTCCCGTGGCAGAGGCTATGTGGGCCAAGTCACAGTCGAATGTCGTGGGCGCTTGTGTGTTGAATGCACTATAAGGCCAGGGTATGCGCCTCTTCTAACACTAATTGGTTTTAGAAGAGTTGGTAGCGCCTGAGGTCCTACAAAGAGTGTAACTCTCTTTTACATATATATAGGATATAGGATAGGATATGATAGGATATAGGATAGGATGCCTCACTTGACCACCCTATAAAAAAGTTTTGATTGAAGATAAATTTTATTTATAAAGAATCATAAATATAATTACTACTTATTTAGAAATAGTTTGGAAAAGGAAAAAAGACTAAAGTAAGAATAAACCATCGAAAATATACTAAAATAAGTCTTCTTTGTTTTTATTCCCGAAATAGAAGTTAAATATTATTTACATTACCAAATGTGGTCATGTACATTGCCAAAAAGTATAGTAATGCTCACTGCCGCAGTACCTCTATATTACCATAGTGCAAACTCCTATTTCGAAAATAAAAATATAAAAAACATATTTTAATATTTTTTCTACATGTATTATTTCCATGGGAAAAAAGACTTCGGAAATTCATTCTCAACAAAATGTGGGGTAGATCCTCGTTATTTTCATCCTAAATTTTGTTTAGACTCCTAACTTACGCCTTTCCCATTTGCAAATGGAGGTAATCAAGCAGCACCCACAATCTTTCCCCTCTTGAAAGCTGCCGTTGCGGCTGCTTCTGAGCCATCTTAATCTCGTCTTCATCTCGCCGGTGCCGGAAGGTGAGTTCTTCATCGTAGTCGAACGCCGGGGCATCAATGCCTGCTCGGCGGTCCTATTTGTCTGCACCGTCGAAATAAGCTCTGAGCTGTTTAAATCCGACAAGTGTATTTTCGGATCTAAGAAGTCTTATTTACAGATCAGACCTATTTAGGTCTGATTTTGTTTGGGAAAAAATTGAAGGAATTAAGTTCTGATTGGGATTCATTTCAGGCCATTGTACGTAGTCTTCCAAATCAAGGATTAGAATTCAAATGCTTGACGGAATTCAATTTCTTGAACTTTCCATACAGGCTGTAAAAGTTGCAACTGTAGTTCATTTTTGTTTGCAAGTGGAGGATGATAGACTAAGCTTACATTTTGAGTTTTCACTAATCACTATCAATTACTTGATTTGAAATTTTGTTGCAGGATTATAGTCTTTAGAGTTCAGACAGTAT